GTACCGACTCGTTCAGGTCCTCACAGGCCATGGATGTTTCGGTGGATACCTTCACAGGGTTGCCAGGAGGAAGGCATCCCCCATTTGTCACGAGTGTGGTTTCGCAGACGACACAGCGCAACACACTTTAGAGGTTTGTCCGGCGTGGAGCTCTGAACGTAGCCTATTAACCGCCACCTTCGGATTGGACCTGTCGCTTCCAGTCATAGTTAAAGCTATGATGGAGGCTGACAGTGACGGCCCATGGAACACTTTCAAAGCGTTCTGTGAAGCCGTCATTACACTTAAAGAGAATGCGGAGAGGGTTCGGGAGTGTAACCCAGACGCCGACCCTCAACGCAAAAAAAGGCCTGGAAGGAGACGTCGCGATTACGCACGTACTCCACTGGGACCTTAGGACAGGATTGGGCAACGCAGAATATGTGCTCACACAGCAGACGCTCATGACGGAGGCGCGGATTAAGGGAAACTGTTACCGCGCCTACCGTCCATAGCGAACAGATGGGGCTGTTGGGTTTTAGTGGGTAGGTGTCCATTGCACCATACGGACTGACTCCCACACTCCCTGCGCCACTTTTAAATCGTTGCCCCGGCGCGGGGGTCAGTAAATTGATTTCCCAACAATAAAAAAAAAAAAAAAAAAAAAAAGGTTTTTTGAGAAATTCAAAAATTTCCCAATTGATATTAAATCGGTTGAAAGGACGCAAAATTCAAATTAAACGTATATTTCGCAACGCAGCGTAATAAAGGTCAAATTTATTGAGTAACTTTGTATATATAAACAGGATGCATTTAAACATAATGTGTCGGACAGTCGAGGTTAAACAACGAGCTTTACTTGTAAAATATTAAGAAATTCACGCGAACATACATTTTGCACGAATGAACTATTATTTATAGTTCTTGACTCATTATAGATTTTCAGATATTTTTGAATATATTACATATAAATTAATCAAATAGTATCAATATCAATTAACTTAAAAGATTCTGTTCACGCTATCCAAGTACCTAGTCCTCTCTGTTCTCATTTTCTGTCCTTACCGCACCCATTCCCTAAACACCACTTGGTCTCTCTTGCTATATTCAAGTGTAGGAGGGGAACCACTTCATGTTTACGCGCTGGAGAGAAGTCTTCCCTATGGACATAAAATGAGAACAGAGAGGACAATAGTTACTTGGATGGCGTGAATAGATTCTTTAATTTTGGTTTTAATAAAATTCCTTGTATCTCTTTGATAGCTTTCTTTTATATTTCTGTATGACGTTTTTGTTTGAAACAAGAAAGTGCAATGTTGCACCAGCCTCGGAAGGCGTGTACCACGCTTCACCACTAACATTACGAATATAAGTTTCCATAATGGCACAATTTCTACGCATCCTGTGCTAATATTCCTGATATAATATTTAAATAACATATTATCATAGTAAGTTTTGATGTGATACGAATAATGAATTAAACGTTTTCGTTGAATTAAAAGGGTGTGACATTCACGCCCAAATGTTACTTAGCGCCTAATGACTACATGTATAAAACAATTACCTACTGAATCTCCTTATATATGTATAATATATTTAGAATTATGGTTCTAAATATTTTTTAATTTAATTGTAATTATACTATATTACTTATTAGTATAACTGTAATCGTACAAAACCGCATAGTAATAATACGTCAAAATCGGCCTTCTACAAAAATCCTTTAATCTGATACAAATGTGGACCAACAAGCACGTTAATACTAGTAAAATAATTTTTTTAAATCCAAATTTAAGAAGCTTTATTGGGGTAAATAAAATTGATATGTATACCGTGTGCAAGCCACGCATCAAATTATCTGTTCTTGTATATTATTTTGAATTAATTTATTAGAACTGATACAAAAATATCACATAAACACTTGGTGAAAGTTGGGAACTTTTCCCATTTTAACTCTAAAAACAGCCAATAGACGCAGATAGCTCAGTTTTAAATGTCAGTTTCACTACGACTCTAGAATAGTAATGAAATTGCAAACGGTTAGAACAAGGAGGGAAACTTATTCTATTTATATAGTTTACGTAACTTAATTTAACGGTTATTAAATCGTTTCTTTCATTAAAATAATAGTTCCTTATATAATTACAATTCCTAATGGCATCTCGCATGTCTCGTATGTACGTAAATTATATATATATATATATATATATTATACACAGTTTGTGTGACAAAGGAAAATGTTAAAGGAGGCAGGACACACAATTATCCATATAAATTGGCGTAAGTCAAAAGCATGGTATGCAGCAGTTAAAACCAATTTTTAATAATGATACTATTAATAAATGGTCATCCATAAAGTTACCAAAAAAGATTGAAAGTATCCTTTATTAGATGTTATTAAGGTGTATTAAATAGTTTAAACATCCATTCATTTAGAATACGAGGCTGCGTGACTCCCACGAACAACCGATCAACTCTCCCAACGATTATTAACATTCCCGTAAACTGGGATATAAATAACTCTTCGCTTCTTCATTTCGATAACATTTCAGTTTTTGTCGATTTTAAAAAGATCGTAACTATTTTCATTTAAAACCATTATAGAAACAAACAATGTAATCAGAAACTTATACTCAGTAAAGTAGACAAATAAAAAATTCGTTTAAAAAATTAATAAATTAATTATTATTATATTAATAATTAACGTAAATTACTAACTATTGCATTTTATTGTTTTAAAATCAAAGCGTGATTCACATTCACACGCGAACTCGTCAGTCAAATTATCATAAATCGATTTGAAATTAAGTTCATTGTCAAAATAGCAATGACCTCAACAATCTGTGCCATATTTTGGCGGTGGTTTGCTTTATTATTAGACATTTTAGTTGAGATCATGAGTTAAGTAGCTCCTTTAGCAGTTATTTTTGTTTTATGTTATTTGGACGTAAAGTAGACATTACCCGCATGAATGCTATTTGCAAATCACGATTCGCCTTCTGATTAATTAAAAATAATTCCTATTGTATAAAGTTACTTAACCCTATCACAAAAAACAACATTATACAACTATGGGTATGATCACTGTTGCATGGAAGCTTTCTGCATGAAAACATTTGTCTTATTGGAATAAATGGGGCACCACTTTCCATAGAGTAATGTAATGTAATTAGGTCATTGGGTACGTAACCCGAAATGACTTATTCAATAACATATTTATTGTACCATAAATGATGAGCAGAAATATATCACTTAATTTCCATTAAACAATCTAAACAATCAATATAGGGTATATCTTTGACATAAACTTGAATTATTGATTGTCAACAGATGTATCAGAAAATATGAAGACATGGCTCCCTAATCCTATCACATGTACCAAGACTTATCACTAATAAATTACAAATCTATTATAGGTAAACCATACTTAAATCTATTGCAAAACAGTTGTAAACAATCACAGCATTAAGACAACAACCAGTGTCAAAAGACAAACAATAGCTAGAAGCTTCAAGAACAAAGTTTCCTCAATCATTGCTTGTAAGTATTGTTGAAGTTAGGAATAAATTGAATATTATAAAACTCTTAAATATTAAAAGTCTTGAGGTGAGATGTGAGCCTTAGCTCTATGGAGTTACAATATATATATTAAAATCTGTGAATAATGATTAAATCATTATACTTTACTGATGATGAATGGGTAATCACACAAAGCAACAGTAAATTAAACCCCTTAACAATATATCAATTCAAGGATATAGAAGAAATAATTATTTCATTAGGGAAATTCCTAGTTATAAATAACTTTTGACTAGCCATATTTGCAATATTTTGGTGTGACTGTAATCACACCAAAATATTGCTATTAATATTCACACCACAAGTTTAAGTGACATACAGACAATGATTCTAAAACTGTGAATGAATTTTTATTTCTACACCTTTAGATGTACATCACACTTATAAGCTATTAATATTTTGAATATAAAACACTATGAAACTTTAAGGAAAAACAGACTACATAGCCTTATGTAACTGTATTTGCTCAATATTCATTAATTAGGAAACACTACAGTTATGTACCAACATGAATAATTACTACATTATATACTAAGAATTCTTTTAATTCTATTACACTTCAATGTTCTCTGAAATTATAATATTTAGATTTATTCAAATTCTAATCTAATCACAATCTTATTAAATACAAAAAAATATGAAGTAATTGCCTTGACAATAACAGTATACTTTTATATGTTATATTCTTCTGAATTGATGTTCTCTTAACTTATTAATAGGACCACTATATTGTGAAAGTATTTAAAATTACATAAAGCATTGCACAAGGAGTTTACAATTAAGTCATAAATTAAAGAAACCAATTTTTTTTAATAAAATAATACCAAACATAATGCAATCATAGTTAGTTCCACAAAGTGAATGGAATACTTTTATGGCTATTTCATATTCTATATTTTTTTTAATTAAGTAATCTGTATATATACTTTTTTACACAAAATTGATTGAAAATTTTAGTATGTACCTATAGTATGATTAGCAATCATTTAGACCTACATTATGGTATGTTATTTATAATATTTTAAATATACTTATAATATTTTTTGTAAAGCATAATGAAAAAGATATTGTGGGCAAGAAAATAATTAAACAGTTAATCTTAATGCTATTAGAAGAATTGCAGTGGTACTTAGTTCCACTTGCAATTCTCATAAGTAGGTGATGATGATTTATTTAATATTTCAGCTGTATGCTACAGTGAACACTTTCTACTCTATGATATTTGACACATTTAATTTACAATGTCTAGCTCTACTCAGATGTATAAATATAAATGTTGATAAATATTTTGTTGAATTTATTATTAAACAAATTATATTGTACCATTAACTCAAATTAGTAGGTCTTACTGTACTAAGTAACAATCTATTATACTAGACAATGGCATAACCATTAAAGCAATGATTGAGGAATCCTCATATGTCACATTTACACTCAATTATTCAATGAATATGACGTTTGATCGATTTGTATTGCATGTTTCGGTAAGATGCAACGACGTGCAAGTCATATTCATCAAATAACAGCATCCTGAGACTTACCTTGAAAATAGGACGAGGGTGCCTAGGCTGCGAGGGGGCTGCAGCCGTGGTAGTAGCTGGAGCTGGAGAAGACGTCACATGGTCTGCCGGTAACGACTCGGGAACAGTTTGCAACGTCGGCCGCATAGTTGTCGACATTTTCTCAGGATAACTTTACACCACGCTATGCAAAATTCACTGCTCGCATCCTCTGCGGCCGCACTGAGCTCTATCAACTGGCCTAAGCCCGAGGTCTTAGCACTTTACAAAATATATGACACAACTACGCCCATCTAACCGCATTTTAAGCTATAAAATACATAATGATCTTACACATGACCGACAGGACACAACGGGAATACCTACTTCACTTTCACGTAATAAGCTAACGTAGGTCGAGATTGAAAACGGAAATAGACACGCAAAAAACTATTAGAAAGCTTTCAGTACCTTCTGCTGTCACATAAACACTAGCAAATAAATCGGCGTTTTGGGCATTTAACACCTACAAAAAACGATTAATATAAAGCGAACAACCTAAACTATTATGACTAAATTGACTATGAGTATAATGTTCTTTAATTTAATTACTAATTATTTAAAGATATTATATTTAACGCGACGAAAATCCGCTTATTATTCTTTTAGAGTCACTCTCAAGATGGCGGATTCTACTTACTCGTAAATGAGCACAAGGCTGACACGAAAACATCAACCGGCTCTCTATCAATCCCTTTTTTTGATGCAGAATAAAAAGAGACAGCTATAGGTGATTAACTTCGATTCCTAATTCCTATTTGTCGTGGTTGTCGCTCTTTACTGATACGTCAGAAACATAAGAGTTACCATTAATAAAAATAATTATTAGCCTAATTTGGGCATGCGCAGAATGTAATAAATGTATATAAATTAAAATACCTTGTATATATTTTATACCAAAAGAATGAAAATTAAAGAATTAGTTTTATTAGATAGTTTAATTTGTTTTACTAAAATTTATTCCTTAATTTCCGTTCCGCATATTAGTCACAATTTACAAGCAATATAAATATAGTGGAAATGATTTATAAATCTTGGTTTATTTAGTAGACAATAAGATAAAATTTCATTTTAAAAATACTATTATATTGGTAACTTCTTTTTTTGGCACCACAGAGTAGTGATATTAATACAGAGCATCTATGAATATGGCAATAATAGACATCGCCATTTTATTAAAAATGGTTGGCTTGTTGTTGGCGACTGTTGGGTGATTGTTTAGAATGTTTAGCAAAAGATGTTTATTTCTTTGCTAGTCCTTGCAGTGACTAGTCGTGTATATTAAGTGCTTGTTCTATGTGTTAATTAATTGGTAAGTACTCATTGGCATGTGCCGCCTTTACTATAGCGGTTAGGGTAACGTAATAACATTGTTAAATGCAACGTGAGCCTCCTTTTCTTAAAACCAAGTCATGTTATTTTCAAGAAGTAGGTTATTTTAGTAGTTATCTATTTTTGGTTGTTTGGATATATTGCATCAAAATTCTAGTTTGAAAAGTGTATACTTATCTTTTATACGATGACCTTAAAAAGAACAATAAAGGTCTTGAAGAATAACGATTCTGTTTCCGTGATTTTCGAGGTTTTTCTTGTGTACGTTGATTACAGCTTTTGTTCACCTTCGTAAGTGTTAAGTAAAAATACAATTACTTTGCACCACAAATACATAGGTGAATGTACTTATAATTTACCTACAAAATATACCACTCTTGCATTATACCAACCTTAGTAATACAAACATGTTAATTTATTGTTTAATGTAATATGAGTCTTAAATAATTTCAATTGCTTTGTAAATCAAAGTCAATGAAAGCTTTAGGAATTAATGCTATATTGCATATACTTTTTACAAGTAAAAAGTCTTTATTTATCTAAAATGCCTTAAGTTGTGTCCACAAGTACACAGAATGTAAATCTTCATGTAACTTTAGGGAGTCATACCTAAGAATAGTTTTTAAGATGTTTTGACTATTTCCCCTCTACAACTTTCTTTGTGTCACCCTAAAACTAAAATTATCCTTTGTAGGGTGACTATTATGTATGAGATATACTTTAAAACCATAACATACTCAAAATATTTCATTCTTTTATAAAAATAAAATAATTAAGTTATATCTTGTAATTTATGAAAGTGTGGCTAAAATCGAAATAAACAATGTTAAAATTATACAAAGTTACAAGTCTTTGGAGTCTTGTTGGTACAGTTCAATTTCATTTTAACATACCATATAATGAGCTACTTAATAATGTTTATTGTTATAGAAACAGGGACATAATGTAATTATAAAATCTTAAAATTGTTATTTGGGTATACCTGGTGTTTACAAATTAAGTAATATTAGGAAATAAATAAATAGTATTTTTTTGTAAATTTATAATTGGCATATTCAATTAGTACATCATACAATATCTATCATATACTGTAATTCATTTAATATATGTAGAATTTCTTGCATAGTTTGTTTTTATAATTTTACAGACATATGCTTACAGCTAAAAGACAGCTTGCTATCCCATCCTAGTTAAGGAATAGTCATATGAAGTTAGTCAAGATGTGGCCAGCTTCACAGTATTCACACACTAACAACCAAAACCAAAATAGCTCAAAAGGAAATGAACATCAGAACCAACAGAACTTGAAAACTTTGGGAATGACCTCTGCTATTTCTATGGCAGGTATGTATTATTTTTTCTTTGCTTTGAATCCCTAAAATGTAATTGAAATCAAGTCAAAAATTAAGAATCACTTTTTGAAAAAGAATATAATTATCAGTACTGTCTAGTTTAAAACCAGGAAATGCATGCATGCTTTAATACAAACTATTTTTGATATTTATAAAAAAATTGATAGGTATGACTTTAATCCATTCCTAGCAAACAAACACATTTTTTTTTATATATTTAGTTTGGATCAGAATAGTTACTACCAAATAAAGAATAAAAGCTTTAAACACATCTTAATAAGCATTTCCAAAAGTAATTAGTAATAAATTCACTTTAATAAATAGATAATAATCATTAGCTAATTATCATTGTTTCTAATGACAGCTATGTTGTAAACTAAATAGTATTCAATAAAAAAAAATTGAAATAAATACTATAATATGCTATAGGTTAACATATGTGACCTGTGTGACCAGAGTAGTAATAGTAATATTATACATAATCCAAATTTCAGGTCCAAAGCAGATTGACATTGATAAAACTACTGAACTTAAGAATTCTTTGACACCATATGGAGTATTTGAGTCTGAGGGTGAGATGCATCATCGTATGGAGGTGTTGGGAGCATTGCATAGACTGGTGCGCCAATGGATTAGGGATGAATCATTGAGGAAGAATATGCCGCCAAGCGTGGCAGATACTGTTGGAGGGAATATTTATACATTTGGGTCTTACAGGCTAGGGGTAAGTTACCTATTAACTTATCAACTCACAACATATATTCATAAATGTTATCATACTATATTTGGTTTGGTTTCTCTATTAAAAACACATCTACAGGTATTCAATTATATGGAAATACCTACTTGTAAAAAGTATGTTTAGTAATAATTAGTATTAAACTTAATATTATTTTTTTTATTTTGGTTTTGATATTTGAACTAATATTTATAGGTACATCACAGAGGTGCAGATATAGATGCACTATGTGTTGCTCCAAGGCATATTGATAGATCTGATTACTTCCAGTCTTTCTACGATCTTCTGAAACAACAGCCACAGGTATTTATCATATGTTTTGATTGCTTTTAAAAAAACTTAAATTTAACCATAATGTAGAGAAAAATAGAAATTCAAAATCAATTTACATTAATTGGTAATTATTTCTTCTCTTTTAATCGCACCAAAGAAATATGGAATGATTACATTTCAGCGTTATAATAGTTTATCTTTGTTTATAAATAGAAAATACAGTACATAATTCACTGTCTCCAGTACACATTGACCAAAAACCCTTCTTACCATATTATTTACCAAATTGTGTTTTCAGGTGAAAGATTTGCGCGCAGTAGAAGATGCATTTGTGCCTGTCATTAAGATGAACTTTGATGGAATTGAGATTGATTTGCTCTTTGCACGACTTGCTTTAAAGGAAATACCTGGTATGTCATACATTTCTATAGTAGCATTCATGTTATAAAGATAAAGTTCAGCATAGTTTCTGGGTTTAAAAACAATTTAATTTATATTAAAGTTTGAGCCATAACACAGAAGGAGTTATATTATAAAACTGTATTTATTAAGAAAGGTTATGATTGCACTGAGGGCACAGTATATAATATATTTCTCTTCTGTGTGTCACACCTTACATTCTCAAAAAGTGATTTATTTTAATGTATTGTAATATAATTGTGATTTGATACTTCTAATAATGATAGGGCTGCTGTCTTCTTTGCATTTTTTAAATTCAATTTCGGATTCTATAAAACAGATTGGACGTTTCAAATTATGTTGGTCACAACATAATCAAAAAATACCCTTAACACAGGTTTATTTAATTATTTTCTTCCAGATTCGTTCGACCTACGAGATGACATTCTACTGAAGAATCTGGATCAAAAATGCGTGAGATCACTAAACGGTTGCCGGGTAACAGATGAAATTTTGCGTCTAGTGCCTAATATAAACAATTTTCGGTTGACATTAAGGGCTATCAAGCTATGGGCGAAACGTAAGTAATAATGTATATTTTTAGATATAAATTAACACCTTTATATTATGTAAATAGTATGTATAAATTTGGTCCGTGAATATCACATTTATATGTTTACCGACATTCTTATTGTTAACCATTTTATGTGTTAAAAGCAAAAACTATAACTATAAAGTCATTTTAGTAACTTTTATACTTATGTATTAATTTTTAATGTTTTTAATTTAATTATTTGACCAAATAAAAAACCACACATATGTAGTTAATTTTTTCTTATTTATTAATTACTTTCCAGGTCACGGTATCTACTCAAACACATTGGGTTATCTGGGTGGTGTCTCTTGGGCTATGTTAGTTGCCCGAACATGCCAACTCTATCCAAATGCATTACCGGCCACATTGGTTCACAAATTCTTTCTTGTATTCAGCCAATGGAAATGGCCACAACCGGTTCTTCTAAAGCAACCTGATTCAGTCAACCTTGGATTTCCAGTATGGGACCCACGGGTAAGGTTTTAAATGAGTACTAATATTATTTGAAATTAATAGTGTATCAAAAAAAAATTGTAGTCTGTGATGGAAAAATATTTTTCCAAGAAAATTAAATGCATTTCTTATAATATTCTCATATATTGATTGGTCTATTATCAGTGACTTAAATTATGTTTTATTTAGGTCAATATGTCTGACCGTTTCCATCTGATGCCGATCATCACACCGGCCTACCCGCAGCAAAACTCAACCTTCAATGTATCAGCTTCCACCAGAACTGTGATAATGGAAGAATTTAGACTCGGTAAGACTTTATAAAACCTAGAATTATGTAAGTAATTGGCTTTTAAATGTTTTCTCGTGACTTGCTCTGGGGGGTAACATACGGAAACAGAAATTGCAATTTAAATTCCTCTTCATCAATTACTTTATATATTATATAATACCATTTAATTTTAAATAAATATTTCAGGTTTAGCAATAACAGACGAAATAATGTTGGGAAAATGTGGGTGGGAGAAGTTATTTGAAGCACCAAACTTTTTCTTAAGATACAAGCACTTCATCGTGTTGCTAGCGTCCTCTGCCAATGGAGATGATCAGCTGCAATGGTGTGGCCTCATTGAGAGCAAGATCAGACATCTTATAAGTAAGTTCTTTACATGATACTTTAAAAAGTATATAAAAACAAATATAGCAACATAATCTAAAACTAAATTGGTATAATTGCACCATTTTAACTGTCTCTTTTCATCACAGTGTAAACTTAATTTGACAAAATTGATATTTGTTTTGGTAAATTAATAATTCACGGGTGTTCTTTATACCTTACTCTTTATTATATTTATATATTTTTCATTATGTAACATCTTTTTGCATTACAGCGACACTAGAAAGGAATCAACACATAACAATAGCGCACGTGAACCCTGAGTGCTATAACTCCGTGCCATTGAACACCAATAATGGACAACCCCTAGCCTTACCACCGGGTGAGATAAATACTTCTTATATTTAATAGTTCACTCATTTAATACCTGTTTATTCCTTAAGTAAAGGACTTCTGTGGATTTATCTGGTAAAAAATTTGTAGCTTTACTTTTAACTAGTACAATCTTTTTTTAATGTTAACGTTAAAAAAAAGATTGTATTTAACTTTAAATGCTTATATGTAATTGTTAAATGTTATTGAAATTTTAGGTACTCCAGTGCCCTCAAACGTGGATGTGGAAGTCAAGAAGAATGAAAATGTAAGTATTACAATTTTATTAGTAAATTACATTGTATTTATAAAAAAAATATTTTGTAATACCAAAATGGACATTCTATATTTGATTTCTTTATTAAAAACATCTTTATACAGATATTCAATTCTTTGGAAATATTTACTTGTAAAAAGCATGTAGAGGAATATAAATGGATATAAATAACCTTTACTAAAATTTTATATGTATACTGTAGCTAAGCCGCTTTTTTTTTTCAGGGAGAAGTGATGCCCAACTTATGTTCAATGTGGTTCATTGGCTTAGTTTTTGACAAGACAAATGTGAATGTTGACTTGACGCATGATATTTTGTCATTCACAAAAGTTGTGCACTATCAAGCCGAAACCACCAATATGCTAAGAGAAGGAATGACCATTGAGGTTAGTATATTTCAATCTCTTTTTTAACATCACAAATTGTTCAAGATACTAAAAAAATAATGATGATAGAAAACATTTGTGACCATAATAGTGAACCCAATCTAGGATTATAAAGGCTTGTTACTATTATTGATTCATAAATTTAAAAAATAAAAAATATTTATAAACTATAATAATTAGGCTCAAGCGAATGTACATACTAGAGATAAAATTTAAGTATGTAAGGAAGGCAAAGAAATGAAAAGGCAAAAAAGCAGTTGTAAATTCTACTGTAAATAAAAATTTCAAGCTTGAATTGTTGTAGCAATGTGATTAATATACATTATTTGCAGGCAAGACACGTGAGACGCAAACAATTGCACCAATATCTATCTGCGTCGCTGATAAAGCGAGAAAGAACGACTTCAGGCGCTAAGCGTAAGCAGGACAGCAATGCCCAACCGGCACCACTTAAGAAATCGAAACGACTATCTGAGAGTAGTGTAAGTACATTTATTATACCTCTTACGGGTCCAGTGTCGTGTTCCACTGGTAGAGTACACCTTCTCAAATAATATTGATAAAGAAATGTTACTATACTTCAAAAGTAGAACGTCTTAATGTTGAGGATTTGTTCCTGAAAGATGTGGCTTGCAATATTTTTAATGGAATTGTTGGATCTTAGGTTACTTTAGCAATATTAAGTTATTTATAGAATATTAGGGAGCGTTCAAGTATTACGTAACGCAATTTTTGGAGATTATTCACCCAATGAAAGGGAAAAATTCGTTACGTAATACTTGAACGCTCCTTTAACTACTGAAAAGTTTATCACAAAAATTAAATTTTTGCTAACAAAACATACTGAAAAACTAAAATGAATGTGTTCATAAAACATTACAGACGGACGAAGTTAGCATATTGTCATACAACGAAGACTCAAACTCATCAAACGTGTATGAGGTAAACATTCAGAATGGAAATGCCTCAAATCACTCCCAAGAAGACAGAAAACCTGCAGAAAAGCCTCTCAGTCCTCCGGAGCACCCTTCGACGTCAAACACGATTGCTTGTACGTAGCAGTATGAAGAGTGGCGGAAACGGTTCATATATGGACCCAACGCCAAAAACCGTATAAAGCGGATCTAAGTGACACTTGGTGACACTTAGTAACGTGTAGTGACAGTGATAAAACACTATAAATGAAATCTCATTTAGTGTAAAAGTGAAGTGACACTTGTGCAATTATAAACTTATTTGGTAAGTGTAGACTTTGGGATGTGTATTTATTTTTTACATTGCATTTTAGGTAGAATGAGAAAATTTTAGAAATGAGTTTTTGTGGGAGTATGGTATGGAGTGGTTTAAATCAAGTTTTTTTTTATTGTTTTTTAAACACCTTTCTTGATGCCTGAATAATGTCAAGCAAGAAATTATATTTTTAAGAACATAATTAAGTACCTTGGCACCATTAATTTATCCCAACAATTATCAAACCCAACGTCTTTTCCACTAACACCATACATACTCACGCAGAACTAAAATTAAAAAAAAACAATGGTGGGTGAAATCTTTGTGGGTATTTGCATTTCAGATGACGCCGACATGACAGGACATCCACCACGTAAGTTACGTAGATTATAACTCTTGCTATTAATATTATGGGATTAATGTTAATTTATTGTTGAAAAATTTGTATAATGTTTTGTTATTTAAGAGGGTTTCAAAATAATCACTTAAAAGATTTCAACTCCAATATAATTCCTTAAACTAGGACTAAACTTTTCTTACTTCTTTTATTTCTCTCTGTATCTTGCAACATATGAATGTATGTTAATTAAAAAACTAGCTATGCTAGTATATATTATTATATTATAATTCAATCTTAAATTATCAATAATCCCATACTTCGAACAAGATCATTTGTCTTAAATTCTTATATTGTCATAATTGGACAAATCATGGGGCGTTTGGGCGTTTGACTATTTTTATAGTTTATTGGACACATTTTGTCTAAGAGATTTTCAATAGTTCAAATTTAAACGCCAATTAGTACAAAAGTATAGAATTGTTAATTTTTCAGTATTAAACTAGGTACTACTTGAAAAAAATATTTTTTCCTTGATGTAAGCTGCTTAACTGAAATAAATACTCACTAATTTATCTTTAGTCAAACAACAAGGAATGTGTAAAAATATAGTAATACTTGGCCAATACCTTTGCTTAGTATTCTTTTCAAATAGTTAATGGATTTAATAAGGAAAAATTAACGATTTTCTGTTCAAGTTATTGATATTATATAATTGTCTGCCTATATTTCACTGATTCACTTGTAAATAGTCATCATTCCTCTACTTTATTCTACTAATAATAATAATGTATTTGCAATATTTTCAATCTGCACGGAATATTTATATATAGTTAAGTTGCAAAAGATTGGTAAATATCTTGCAGCTATGTCCTTGAATTAAGAAATCCAGAAAGGGTTGTAGATCAATTTGAGACCAATTATTACTGATATAAATTTTTGTACCTATAATCCAAGTACCAAAGCAAACAAAATAGGTAAAACAAACCCATCAAATTGTAAACCATCTGATTTGAGTTTTTAGAAGTTGGTCACAGTTCAGATCAGTTTTTGGAAAGCTAGTCTCTTACGTTGATGTTACATCACATAGATGATACATACTTTGAGTTAAAATTTTATGTCAACAAAGTTTTCAATAGTTAAAATAAAAACAAATCAATTTAACAATAAAAAAATGGATATCAATTCACAAGTATGAAATTTAAATAGTAATTATATTACTGATTAATAATCATTATTAAGCCTAATTATAATTTGTTCTGTATTAAATACACAGCAAAATTTTATTTAAATAGTATACAAAAATGTGTGCTGATGGCACAAGTATTAGAATAAGTAGCAATTGTAGCAACAGTAATTGAATGTAGCAAACATTCACTAAAAAATCTATTTTTTAGGGCTACCGTCTAAAAATACAATGACAACCTTATAAGCTAACTGAGTTAATATTAGTTTGAAATATTGCAAATATATAAAGCTTATGTAATGTGTAATTTACCTTGTAATTATCCTGTTTAGACAATATGTCAAATTCTTGTATGTTTTATTTTACTGCAAATATTAATAATTATATATTGTATGAATCCATTTTTCTTACAGTTTTATTAAGTGCAGAGCGTGATCGCGTTTTTAAACCGCATATTTCAGAAATTTCATTATCTAAATAGGTAAAATATTAAAACATTACATTTGCAACATTATTAAAAAGAATGATTCCATTTAGAATTTAAGACTAGATATTATAAGGACTTATTGTAATTTGTATATATGATAGCCAATTCGTTATAAAATAATGATAAAAAATATATATATGAAAAAATAAAAAAAATAATAAATGTATATACAGAAGGCAACTGTTGTTTTTTTTACAACTCCCTCAAAAATCCAAAGTTAGTTATAAAAATTTATTTTCATATTCACATAAATTGACAAATACAATGAAAAATTATTCCTATAGTTCTGTTGAATTCAACCAGTTGGGGTGATGCTGATGTCACTGAAAAATAAACAAATTCCATATTTTACTTGAAGATAATAAAGAAAATGTGTCTGTATAATATATCCAGTTTTCAATTCATTATTGTGAAAACCTTAGTGAAAAATAAAATTTGTATTAAATAGGATTAAATAATGCAATCTTTTTATGGAATAGTGGGGTAAACAGCCCATTTTAGTGGGTGCGTTGTCGGCCTTTGAGGAAGTATACTAATAGTATTAATAGACATTACAGAGGAACATCATTATGTGACACACATGACATATTTTATGTCTATGGAAAAACTGTACAACTTGCTGAAATGAAGTCTTTAGGTGTGGTGTAATTCTAAATTGTTTTAAAATTAAATATACTTAATTATAGAGCTTTTTTATTTAAAAAAAATTCTATATTAACTCTTGTGAAGAGTAGGGGAAGATCGTTACCCTTCGTACGCGGGGCACATTCAACAGTCAAAATAAAACTTGAACGAAACAAAGAAAAGTATTGCTTTTGTATGTGTGCATGAGTCGAGGTACCAACTTAAAATCAACGAAGTTTCGCGAAATTCGCACCGATGAGTGAAGTTACAGGCATGGACGTGTTTTCGCGCTCGGTAAGTAATTTTTTAATCAATGTTTTTGTCTCTTGTTACCGTAGATAAAATAAGTTTTCGTGTAGAGTATTCTATCAGTAACTAGCAAAATATACTTAAGATACGTCTCCAATACTTAATTTATGAAGTTTTCCTGTTAATATTTAAATAAGTTATATTTTGTTGTTATTCAGTTAGTGGGGTACTTTCGGACAGCACTAGATGCGGCACATTTGAACGAATTGTACAACTAAATTTGTATGAAAATTTGTCGACACGAACTGTCATTTTCATACAAATTAAGTTTTTGACTTTCTACTTACACTACTGTTAAGGCATCTTGACTAAACCCTCTGGTTTGTGTTAGTGTGCTAATTGCTAATTTTTGCATTAACTTTGTCCTGTGTTGCTATCGTCGATGTAAATACATATTAATACCTATTTCTTATTATCTTCATTAAGGTTGATTTTGATGAACCAGATGCTTTGAATAATTTACCAATCCATCAAATAGTAGTTCCTTCGAAGTCAGTTTTGACACCAGAGGCATTTCGACCCTATCCGCATGTTGTAAGAAGTAATTAAACAAACAAAATGACGACGACGGCCAGGAAATCCACGAATTTATACTGCCACACCCGAAAATAAGAAGTTCTAATCCGCACCAAAGATTAAGAAAATATGTGATTCTAAATTTAAGATACCTAACTAATTAAATTTTGTTTTACATAAGAAAAGCTGTGTAATTTTTGTTCACTATATGAAAAGTATTTTATTTTTGTACAATAGAAATTAAATCTTTATTTTTGTGTTTAATTTCATTGCTAATAAATGAATTTTGATTAATATGTGTCGTTTCAATCGCAAGTACGGAACTACCCCACAGCGTACGAAGGTACTCCCAACACTGTACGAAGATGCCCCGTTGATGGGGCAGATTCGTACGTTTTCCAGATTTAGTTTAAATCATAATTATGGTGGAACCATCAGATGAAATCATTTGTCATTTTTTTATATGAATCACAGATAGTTCGACTATAAATTTAAGCTATCAGGTGATTGATTCATGAAAAAAGTTTAATGTGAAAACCGTACGAAGGGTTCCCACCTTCCCCTATCTACTTACTAAATGATTGATATTTTTTCCTGCTTCTAAATTAAAGACTTTATCTTGTATGGCGATGCTTAACTCTTGAATTGGGACAGTTTTTGTTTTCCAGTACACATTTTGATATTTTGGAGGGCGTTGGCAACGTTTGTTCGATTTCAGATGTACCTAAAATGAATTATAATTGAAATATAATAAGTAGTATTAATACATAAAAACAAAGTGGAATATTAAAATCTATATTACCTTCTTAATATGAGTATTGACCATAGACCTCAAATGAAAGAGGGCAGGACACAGTGGACATCGTCGCGTAGGCGCCGTGTGCGCACATAGCGCATGCTGGTTGCGACGATTTACTGTTACAAAGTTCCTTCCACACACCTTTGAATAAAGTATTACATCAAATTTGATAACCTATTTGGTTTTTTTAAAATTAAGTCAGTTAATTTAAATAACAAAAATTAGCAATTTCTATTATATATATAACAATGAGATAATATTCGATACATGTAAAGATTAAGAGGAGTCTATGTAACTCAACTAAATACTCTTGGTTTGCAAACAAACAAAAATATATAAAAGGTCATTTGTACTTAAGCATAAAGGATACATACTTCACACACATAGGGTCTCTCATTAGTATGCAATCGTTCATGGAACATCAATGTACGTTCATGTTTAAATGACTTCCCACATTGACAGCATGTGAATGAGCTCCGTTTGCCATGTTTTCTTACATCTATTGCTTTATCTGTTGAGTTTCTGAAAAAATTATTGCTTCTATTTGGTAATACAAAGTTTAGTTTTAATTATTTCATAGACCTAAAAACTTAATTCAATTCGAAATGGAATGGTTGTGAATTTAATAAAACTCTTTAATAATAACTTACTTGTTCATATAAAATTCATGTTTTCTTATATGAGCTTCAAATGATACTTCTCCCTTATACATCTTGCCACAATAGTAACAAGTATAATTTTTCACATGTGTTGTTAAATTATGTTCCTCCAAAGTGTTGTCACTTTCAAAAATAAGTCCGCAAATTTCACAAATGTGACCTTGATCTGTTTTAATAAGTTTTTTTATGTTATCATGCCATTTTAAATGGTTAATTACACCATTTCGACCTCTAAATGTCATACTGCATATGTCACAAATGTATAAATTTGTGTGCGTTTGTATGTGAAATTTGTAGTCTCTTTCATCTTCTATGCATGCATTACAAACCTAGAAAAAAAAAATTAGATTATTTAAGCAATCTAATTTAAGCAAATACAACACAGTTAAATTAAACATGTCTGACATGAATTTGTGACATTATTTCAAAAATGTTTAGAGTGTTGGTGTTGTAGTGAGATAGAAAGCTATTAATACTTAATTAGGCAACACACACAGATGCAATAAACACCAAAAAAATCGAATCTTAAAAAGTAGATTATAAACTTATCTTAACAAAAATGATACAATAAGAATTTACCTTACAAATATGAATATCTATTCCATGTTCCATTCTCATATGTTCTTTAAGTTTTCCAAGCATTCTATACTTTGCTGGACACTGCATACATTGTTCAGATATCATGGGCTTTCTTTTCCACGATCTTCGTGGCTTTAGTTGGACCACACTCTTTACAGCTCCAGCTTTTGACTTTTCTGACTTACATAATAGTCTTCCATTTATTTTCAGAATGCTTTTTATATTGTCTTTTATGTTTTGTTTTGTTTCTGGATCCAAATATTTATTAGCATTAAGTATATTTGGTAATACAACAATGGTTGGTTCACTCGTTAACTCAGACTTATTACTTAAAACTTGAGATGTTAATTCTGTTACATAAAAATCCCATATTTTTCTACTATCACTAACCAGTGTATAGAATTTATATGTAGCAGTTGCTAGCTTCAAACATTTTAAACAAACTCTATCATTGCTTGTAAGGTGGAGCTGAAAACAGAAATTATTATTATACAGTAGTTAAAAGCAGTAAAATATTAGTCAAAATAATGCAATTAATATAATTCTTTCTAGAAACAAACCTTAGTATTACATATATTTTTCAACAATTGTCCAACAGAAAACTCTTCATCTTCATTGCAAATAGTTGTGAAAACATTCTCAGAAATTGTGCCTTCTACTGACTCAAAACAAACTATACAAAATTGCTCACTAGGTGAACCATTTATTAGAGTTTTGATGATATCCTTCACTTCTACTCTTTGTGTCATTTTCCCTGAAATATTGTAAGGTAATAAAACTTTTAATCATTTTGTTCATTATAGTAATACAACAATAACAAAGAACAGCTGTACAAAATATATAAATAATAGGATGCGTTCTTACTTTTAAATTTCAATTCCCCTTTCGATACAAAAAGTTAGGAATATAGAAAATGAAATTGATATATGGAGTGTACGCATCCTTTACTGACAACTGACCACAGATGAATTCCGATACGGATAAACATTAGTAGTCGTCAGAAGACACTGACATCGGTACCTATTATTTAATTTTACCTTTATTCAAAACTTTATGTCAATTGTCAATAGTAATTATGTAGCTTTTCGTCATAAAATGTACTAAATTAATTCAGATGTGAGATGTCTAAATAATTCTTATTTGAATCGTACTAAGCCTTTGATGTCTTTTTAATTAAATTTCCTACTAGTTTTCATACTGGATTTATATGTTTTAGTCTTGACTTTCCAATTATGAAAGATAAATACTCCAGTCGGTATAGTGTTATTTCGTATTTAATTTTGTCGCACTGTGTCATTTACTAAAGCTAGCTAGGCTCAAAACAGTGCATATTTCTAAGTGCTCAATTTTATTTACAGTGATAAGCAAGGTAATGCTTGCGGTCTAATACGTATCGAGTTAGTAGTAGTTTGGGTTTTACCTTTTTTTTCTATTTAATCAATCCTTGACCGTAATTTTAAATTATATGAGCTTGGAACTTGCTTATAGTACTAAATAGAATCTCTTGATTTTTTAAATGATCGAGCGTTTGTTTGTAAAATTAAATTTTGTGAATTTCCAGAAATGTCTGATTCAAAAGAAGATGATTTTGCCGAAGACCTTCTTCAACCAAATATTGAAATGGAAATAAAAAAAGAAATTAATATTCAGATAAAGCTAGAAGAAGATGTCGATGAAGCAAATGATAATCCATTTCAAAATATACAAGTTGAGGTGAAAGAAGAAATACCTAGTGAACAAGACTTACATAAAAGTAATAAAGATTTAGAAATAGAGCGACAGGAAAGAGATGTTGAAGTTAAGGAGGAATCAGAAGATATTGTTTCATATGATTTTCCAAATTTTGATGATAGTATGGACAGTGAAGAAGCAACAGCTCTGGGTAATGTAGAAACATGCCTGCAAGAAGACATGAAGGAGGAATGTTATCATCAATTTGAGGTAGTTATTATTTTATTAAAAATTACATACATGAGCCTGAAAATCCTGGTGATAGTTATAAATGTGATGATCATATAACAGCTTTATCATTTGTAAATTATAAATCAATTTTGTTTAATATTTGTAGTAACAAAAAACTTAATAATATATAAACCCTAGTAACAAGTCAGTTCAGATTTAAATTAATCATGAATGGCTTCTTTTACATGTGGTTTTATTGTAATGTGATCAGACCGGAAAATTGAGTATATTGCACTTAAAGATCTTGCTTAAAAATATTGGGTTTTATCAGTGATCATATTGTGTCGTTAAGTATTGTTATCGAAAAATGGAGATACATTAAATATTCTTATATTTACTTTTATTATGTAAATGATACAGAAAATGGAGATATATAATTATTATTTAACTCTCACAGACGGTTAGATTTGACCTTTTCATCATTCAACAGATTGACAATAACTGGATCCATTGCATCTAACAGCTTATTGTTGTCTGCACTTCACAGTTGAAAAGATGCCCAGCTAACAATCTTTTCTTATGGTTTATCAACTATATCTATACTGGACCCAAGCTAACATAATCTAGTTAAATGTAAACGCACAATAAATTAAGATATTGTAATTTTTTCAGAACCCTGACAATTACAGTGATAGCATTAAAGAAGAACCTGATGTAGCAGTTACAGAGACACATCTTATATCAAACAAACTCATCAGCACAACTTCAACTATAACAAACCCGCATGTAGGCATTATACAGTCAGAAACTACAAAAACTCTTGTGATGGAAATTCATCCAGTTGTGCCAGATGATTCCTACAATAAAATGGGTAATCCTGAAGAAATTTTACCAACATCATATGAAAATGATGACATAGATTATTCAGAGCCTTTTCAATTAAATTCCATAACTGGAAACATCCTCTCCTTAGAGCAAGAAGCATATGGACTTCTTAAAGCAAAAAAACAAAAAGTGAATTCGGAAAAAATTTATACATGTGCTAAATGTGATAAAGCTTATGATCGGCCATATGCTCTAAAAAAGCATTTACAAGTTCACCAAACAATTGAAAATTACGAACGCGGCAAGAAAATGCGAATCATAACAAGAATTAAAAACTCAGAAGGCCATGGAAAAAAAAAGAAATCTTTGAAAAAAGTCATAAATTTAAACGACATTAATAAAATGAAAGCGCGTCAGGAAAGAGTAGACAAACGACGAATGAATCTAACAACATTAGAAGAACAGAAGACTCTACAAGCGGACGATGCTGACACCAAAATAGTTGACATCAATATAGAATCAAAGAAAGAAGGATATGAATGTACTTGCGGACAAGTATTTCAACGTCGAAGTAGAATGGAAACGTGTTTTCGATCTCATGATATAGACGATGAAGCGCGATCATTCTATTCTTGTATATCGTGTTCCAAGCAGTTCCATGATAAAGAAGAACTGGCTTCGCACAGAAGGAGACTACATCGTAAACGGTTTCCATGTAAATTCTGCCCAACAGACTATCACACGCGAAAGGACCTGTTCAAACATTTACGGATACATCAAAAAGTTCAACTCATGGAATATAAAGTTATATCAGAAGTAATGAATGGTAACCAAAAGTTAAGATGTTTTATGTGTGAACAAAGTTACTCGGAGCTGACAGGATTGAAAAACCACGTAATGGAAGACCATAAGGAACCTTACATTTGTCCTAAATGCAATGAAACATTCCCGAAAATAATCGATTTCGCGCAACATACGAAAACTGATCATCCAGAGGTTGAAGGGCAGTCGGTGTTAGATGTTTTGGAAGCATTTTCGAAGTTGGTCATGGCGTGGAAGTGTGAGGAATGTGAAGTTCAGTTTCACGAGGCCGATAAGTTGGCGAAGCATCAAGTAGAAATGCATAGTCCCGATTTAAATGCGGAAATTAGATTCCAATGTGACGATTGCCGCCGTGTTTTTGTTAGTCAAAAAGGTCTGACTTCTCACAGACGAATACACCATAATACGGGCAGTACTGAAGAGCCAGAGACTATAGATGGAGTCATTTGTGTTGAATGCAGGAAGATTTGCAGAGACGAAGCCGCTTTGGCTTCACATATGCGATTACATTCGCCGGATAGAAAGTATCCCTGCAAATTCTGCGATTTTCGCTTCGCCACACCGGAAAAACGAAAGATACATGCCGAATTACACACCGGTGATATGAAATATGTCTGTTTTATTTGCGAGTACCAGTGCACTTCAGAGAATAGGTTGCGGTTGCATAAAATGTCCGAAAAGCACGGGAACATGAAAGAATATCTCCTGTCGGGGCAGGCGATGGCAGAGAGCCAGAAGAACGACGATGAATCTGATTCGTCAAACGACGACGGCATCGTTTGTGATATTTGCGGTGAAAAATTTACAAATACAAAGGTAATGTTGAAACATAAAGAAACGCATCCGTTTATTGAGTTCCCTAACGATGATACGCCTACTAGAATATTTTTTAAGTAGCACGAAATGAATAGAGTCCACGGAACACTGAATAATTTTGTGCCTTGATTGTGCATCTACAATACAAAATATAGAAAATGATATGAATTAATCAAATTACCTCATAGGTATCACATCCTGACTAGATTGATAAGGTTAGAACTTTGTCCAAAAGCTACTGCCTTTAATTTGATTTCACACATCCTCACATCACACATCATATATAATTGTTTAATGGTGTGCACGATTAGGGCTGATTTTACTGCACAGATAGCAGCACACAGTGAAGAAGTCAGTCCTGTAGGAATTCAGTAGTGAGAAAGGACTTGATATTACAATTAAAATTAAATCCTGGCTCAGCAATGGGCCTCTTGATTCTCAAGGTGATACAAAAATCAGCTTTATTCTTGTTGCACGCTGGCAGTGTCTACATATCCCATAATTTATCTATTATATATGTATATAAATCATCAAACTATTTACTTAAAATGTGACGGTTCTAGACAAATTATTTTGTAGGTAACAAACACTAAGTTTATACCTACTTATTCATAAAAAAATCTATTTGCACTTTTCACTAAAGTACTATTTCGTTTCATTCTGACACATTGTATTTGTAGATGAATTGATTGACAGATGAGTACTTTTGATAATGAATTTATGAATAAGGAGGTTTATGTATGTTGTTAATATGTTTTTGTTTTATTTTTAATATTTATAGTTATTAAGAAAAGAGAAGCTAGTCTTAATGAATGAGTTGCCTTTTATGTAGCAATATGAAATTGGCTTATACATTGTTTGTATGTGTACAAAATATAAAATTATTCACAATTGATATAGCCTTTATTTTAATCTAACCTTAAGTTTCAATTGGCCATAGAGCTTTTGAAATATAAACATTTGAGAAATTGTTTTCTTTTCTCAAATATTTCATATTTATTTCTGAATTCAATTTTTTTTGTGAATATTAGGTTGCCATAACCCATTTATCTTCATACAAATAGAATTAATAGTAATTTATTTTACTTACATCTTATATGTGAGAGACTCAACCTAAGTATATGTTATAAATTCTAAGTAAAAAAATAAAACAGGAAAATTTTAAAATTATTTTTATTATCACAAGATACATTCCATAATTTTAATGAGGTATTCGTTTAAAACGGGTTTTAAAGTTTACATTTTTAAACAAATACCTCATAATACAATTTGTTCATTTGACTGTACTGTCAAGTACAAATTAGTTCACATTAAAATGAATGATACAATATTGTACTAGGTCGTTTGAAATCCTCGAAATATTTAGAAGAAATTTGAACCTTATGTGTTTAACCTAAGGTTGGTAAACGAACGACACTAAGAGCGAAGGTTCATAATTATCTAAATCGTTTCAAGGTTTTCGATACACCGTAGTTAATTCATACAAGGGCTGACATACTTCAGCTAGTCTTTATTTGGCGTTTCATGTGTAGCGACAGAAAAAAAGCATTGCATATACCTAAATAAAACTAAATGAATACTCTTTTTAACTAAACTCTTTTGTCTACGTCAAAGCTTGCTCACAATTGAACAAAGGGACAAATAAGCAGTTAGCTATATCTGTGGATTGACTTTCGTCTATGGGTTGTGGACGAAAACAAAGCCTACAAGCATGTTTTTCTTATAGTTAAAATTTACTGAATTATAAAAAATTTTATTAATTGCTACAGATTACAGTTAAGACCTGAACTTACTAAAAACAAATAATGATATATTGTCTACTCATTTGTTTAGATGCTGTCCTCTCTTTCATTGAGGTGATGTTAGAGAGAGATAATATTCTAACGTGTGCCTTCATCATGCTTTATTTTTATACACACATATATTTTTTATATTCAGTATAAGGGTAAGATTAAGTTGTTTAGCGCTAAGTATGACGTCGTAGTCATAATAAGCACTAAACGATCTTAATTTCACCCTAAGAGCATTGGTAGAAAAATTATCTTATATATTTCTAATAAGATTAATGTTCAGTGATTTGGTAAAATTAAACTAGTGTCTATTAGATTTAACGACCTGTCTTTGTATCTATGATCCGCCTAAAAATCTTGATCTATTTGGGACAAACCTGGGGCCTTAGACAAATATCTTTGCGGACATCGGCAGTCTGTTATTGATCACGTGACCATGCGTGATCTATGTGAGAGCATTAATACCAATTTTGTGATTGACAGACGCGAGCTATTTTTGCGGACCATAATCGCTAGTTTGTGGTCACGTGATATAGTATTTGTCTATGACTCCATTTAGGGGTTGAAAATTAAACTATTTCTTAATATGAGAATTGTATTTCCCAAGCTTTAGCCATGAGTGCGGCCGGTTTGCGTACTACGAGCACATCGTTACCGCGATGGATTGTCATTTGTAGGGCAGTGGATTTACCATCTTGGATGAGTTTTGCGGATTTAGGCGGAGATTTGATTCCGGCGATTACAATTCGTTCCAGCCAGGAGCGTGTCGGGTAGTTACCGCTGTTTGTAATACTGAAAAAAAAACAATATTTATATGTAAATCTTTAAAATATACCAAGTAAAAAGCACATTTCAGCGGTTTATATTTTTATTGCCACATTTTGTTCTGGCGAGCCGAATCTACTGTCTCGCTGAGAATCGAATCTTAGTTATACACAGGTTTAACTTACCACTAAGCCTTTGTGGCCGAGCGGAATGGTATGCTCAATGTATTATTATAAAATACATTCCAAAGTAAAAAACCGGCCGTATATTTATTTAAATTTTAATTAATGATCGAATTATGATTTCTATTCTCCTTAACTAAAAAAAAACGGTGCGTGTACTTATGTACGCGCGTAAGAAGTTATACTTTTTTGGCTTTCTTTATTTTTTTTAAATATTAAATAATTAATAATAAATAGTTAGCGTTAATAATTTAACAATATTTAATATTTAGTATATTATTAATTATTAATTAATATTAATAATAATTATTATTTTATTATATTATTAATTCAATTTATATAGGTAGGTTTCATAACCTTTACTAGTAAAATAGGTCTTTGTGAAAAAGCATTTAAATTTTTTGAAAAATAATTAAAACTCCTTTTTTTTTAAAGGTATAAAATTATTGTCATTCAAAATCTGATACTTGATCAGATATATTCTTCTTGTAATCTTTTCATTCCTCGACCTGGGCCATATGATAATTTGTGTCACGGTGCGCGCGCATCGTAAAATTTCACTCTCATAAATTTTTCATAACGCGCCTAAAGAAGTATAACTTCAAAAATTGTCAAAATAAATCCCAATCCTAAATAAATACTTACATATACTTCATGGCCGTCTGTTCGTATGTGATTTTAGCGTAAATGAATTTATTAGACTTGAAGTCATATGTCTCTCCGTCATCTATATACAGGGTTCCAGTGGCCGTATTCTGAAAATAAAGGTCAATATAGAATTCATTATATACATTAAATAATAATAAAAAATTAGCAAAGAAAAAAAATATATATGCAGCCTAAACAATATTTCAGAAAACCAATCCCAAATAATCCCAATAACAATAAAAATCATATATGTGTACCTACTTATGTACACGCGTTAGAAGCGAAAAAAAAATTATCGCGCATTATCTAGTTAAAATTTCAATGGCGATATCCAAAATCATTATTTTCCTACCATGTTTTTACAACAAAATTGGGTTAAATTATTAATTTATTATTGGAACTTCGTAATGTTGGTTAAACAATTCAATTGACTCATACTCACATTAATATCGAGGGTCACAACCAAAGTGTATGGATCATCTTCCATCAAGGCAGACGATCTGCGCACGCGCTCCTTACGCGGTATTATACTGCCACCGCGCTGGTACACTGGAATCTAGTGGAATTTATAAAATTAAAAACTATGACTTATTATTGATTATGATTATAACTAATATACTCGAACTACTGAACTACGATAGGTTAAATAATTAATTTCATTATTTAATGCAATATTTTCTAAAGCAAAAGAACATACTATCAAAAGCCATATTTATTTACCAAAATATACAAAAAATATACAAAACCACTTGCAATTCATGTACTTAATCTACTTTATTACCGTGTTTCAACTCAAGCGCACATTCATTGTTTAAAACACACATACACAAAATAGAGTTTTAATTATAAAAGAGGATGGACCAGCCATGAATTCAAAGAATATTAAATCACAATCTCGTCTTAAGCTTTACATATTTGAAACTTTATATAAAAACTAGCTGACCCGGCAAACGTCGTTTTGCCATGTATATTATTTCTAAGAAACATTATTTTATTTCAATATAAATAACTATCTACTATAATAAAAAATAGGGGTTGATCGAAGAGGGGTGACAATTAAGGGTTGTATGTATTTTTCTATAAAAAAATAAAAACAAAAAGTTTTGTCTAAAAAATAAAAATTTAGGGGTGGGACCACCCTTAACATTTAGAGGGATGCAAAATAGATGTTGTTCGATTCTCAGACTTACTGAATACCTATGCATAAAAATCGGTCGAGCCGTTTCGGAGGAGTATGGGAACGATCATTGTGACACGAGCATTTTATATATTAGGAGATGACAACTCTTAAAACTTAGTTTAATTCAACGTATATAATACGGGCAATATCCTCGATAACACCTAAGTGATATTACCTTGGAAATAGTGACTTCTTGTGTGAAATATCCGTTGGCTTCATGGCGTTGGAAGGAGTCAACGTCATACCAAACGGTATGGGAATCCCTTCCCGGTAAATACACTTTTACGCTGGACACACCGGGCTCAACAACGGGACGAATTAGCAATTTGTCACCTATAAAAAAATTAGTATTAAACACTTAATAAAACTCAGGAGCCATATGGTTTTTTTTATCAGAACCAAAATATTAGTTCTTAAATGTTGGCAACAATGGCTTCTTAAACAAGAATTGTCTATTAAAATATAACAGATACAGAATATACATAGTAAATACCAGAATATCTTTCTGTCTTGTGCCAAGGGGCATCCCTTTGTCCATGTGAGTTCTTTTTTTTTAAATAATTTATTTCATAACCATGGATACAGAGTCCTTCAGTCGGAATCATGGAATTACATAAGGTCCTTAAAAGTCCATGTGAGTTCATACGAATAACATTGCCACTTTTTAAATACAGATTCATTTTAGCTATTTTAAATAACGATACTCACCCAATAAATATGTGTCGTCAATAGTGTATGTCTGCTCCTCCTTGGGGTAATGGGTCAATAATGGACGCATAACGGGCACACGGTCCAAAGTATGTTCGTAGAACAACGTATACCTGAAATAATTTTACAAATATTATCGTATAAAATGAAAATGTTTAATCATTTATTTGCTTGAGACCATTTACTATTAAATTATAATAAGTTCTTAATAGTTATTTGTCACCATATATTTACGTACAAACTATAAAAAGTTTTTTAACGGTTATAAATTTATTACAAAAAATAATTCGACGTTTTGAGTGCAAACGTCATGACCACAGAGCTACAAGTTGACAGATTTGGAGTCTATTGAAGTGTTACCATATTCGAGACGAATTTTTAAAATCATTCAGAAGTTTTAAGGTAAAAGTAGACTAAGCGCTAAGTGATTTTCATTTACCAAAAAAAAAATCTTTCAGTTTATTCATTCACATAAAAAAAAACTATTTTGAAATATTAATGTGGATGAATTATGTAATTATGTCTTACTCACCAGAGGTCCAAAAGGGCGTATCTCCGCCTAACCGCGTCCCTCAATCGCGAAGTGGTGGTCGCGTCGTACAGCCATGGCTCACGACGTTTCGTCTCAATGTGGGAGTGAGCACGCATGAACGGTTGAAAAGCTGCCGCCTATAGCAAAATAAAATCGTTGTTTAATAGCTTGAGAGAATAAAAATTTCTTTTAAATAATCGAGTCATATTAGGAGTTTCTTTTAAACCAACATTTTTCAAATCTAACAGAAACTAGGAAACACAATATATAATAGTTATACAATAGTTTTAATTGAACACACCTGATCTTTTATATTTTTAAATAAATAATTTTGAAAATGTAATAAATAATATGAATTTAGCATAGGTCACGAAAAAATAGCAAATATAGAAAAAAACTAATATAGTTTTTTTTGTTTTTTAAATAAAATAGTACATTTATATGTATTTTACGTATTTTTTGAAGGGTTTTTATTTTTCATAAAAATACACTATAAAAAAAATATATTAAATTAAGGACTCGACACTAAATTTTAACTAAAAATGCATATAATAAAAAAAAGTTAACATCTTTCCTTTATAAATTCAGCGAACCCATTATATATTTGTAGACAATCATAATTCTTACTTTTTGTAGTAAACTTACATTTAAAATTGAAATCTATTGAATAAACGTTCACATACCTGATACCACCTCGTCATCAACTCTGCTTCGGGGTACTTGAAGAATCCACCCACGTCTGACCCACAAAAGCTGACACCGGCACTCGCGAGAGACAAACACATAGATATCGAGGCGAGAAGGAATCCCCATTCCGCCATATTGTCACCCGTCCATACAGCGGCATATCTGAATAATTTCCCATTTATTAAACTCCTTTATATATATTTTTTCGATAAGAAAGAAAAAAGAGAGCCCGTCTACCAGAAACCTGGGAAAACGAAGAGATAGCAGGGAAAGATTGTACCAAAAGGTTTGGGTTTTGTGTAAAACCAAACAAATGTAACTAATTTTTAAGTTTCGTTATAACGAATTTAGATTCTATATGCACTAAAAGTTGTCATCTCCTAATGTAATATTCAGTCTTAAGTAATACTCCTGAACCTCAAAATACAATACGTTTTGACATACACAAACTTAGCGCTAAGTTTCTACTGATCTATAGACCTATAAATTTAAAACTTGCCACATGCCTGCATTGCTTACGGGAGAAATAATCAGCAAAACAAATTCGAAGGCCGTAACGCGCTATTCGATTATTACAAAAATATATGAGATAAAAACTACAACGATCTATTCTTCACTTAAAAGAACCATAAATTAAATAGCTCTTTATATATTGAGCGTATAAATAAACGAACATACATCCAATTAAAGTCAGTCATTGATTACAAAATTGGGTTATTCAAAAGCATAAAATACTTTATTCCATCAAAAAACGACGTCTGTTTTTTATTAGTATTTTTTTAAAATCAGTGTACATAAGTTTTATCTGTGGCACCAGTACCCTATTCTGGAACTTCAGGCCATAAACTCCAAAAAAAAAAACGACGGGTTGCACTCTGGGCGTGCCGGCAGAAGTGAAAAGTTTTAAAGATTCTAAAGATTTATAATAATAAAGCTTTAGACGTTTCGCAAAATAAAACCTTGATGTATTGACTTAAAAAAAACATCCGTCTTACAAATTTTCGATCAGGACACGTGACCTGACGCGAGTTTAACATTTTTTACCCATTCCAAAAAAAGTGTACAAACTTTACTAAAGAAGTTTTCACTTAAAAAATTCTAGAACTTTCAAAGCGACCATGGCTTCTTATTCGTTTACCACACGTTCACCAAATCAGCTACGCTTATTGCGAGTACCATCGCAGATTCGTTCTAAAATATGTCTCACCTCTGTGTGCCGGAGTAGACCGCTCTAGATAGAATAAAAGGCCTGTACTGTCCGTTGCTTCGGTCCAACATTCCCTGGTGCGTCGCCATTATGTGCCATACACCGTACTCGTTGTGAATATGTCTGAAATATAATTAAATCATTAATGATAACCCATCTTCGTAAGCCATTAAGTACTGGTTGTCTTGTGTAAAGGTGTGCAAAATTTTTGAGGGTAAAATGGGTAAAAACGTCACGAAGATGTGCAGCATTTTTGTCGAAGAAAAGGGAGAGAGCTATTGATACCGATTGAGAGAGAGCGAGAAGGGTGAATTACCTTATAGAAATTCTATTTTTAAATTAAAATTTAAAAGAGAAAAAAGATTTATATTTTAGATATTTTATGCAAAAATAATTTATTGAAATCTCGAATAGTCCTTTTTCCAACCCTCTAAGTCTCGTAAATCTAAAGTTTTAGATTTGTATAAAATGAATAGTTTGCCAAAGGAGTTTCACTTCTGACATGTGTACCTACTTTGTACGCACGCACTTTTTTTATTTTAATTGAATTTGAGAATAGCAAACAAAACATGAGAGACAAGACAAAATCAGGTTTTTAAGGCGATAGTCGAAATCACTTTTCGACAAGCGTGACTCTAACGTCAAACAAATTTGTATGAAATTGGTCACGTGAGCTAATGTAATTCCCATACAAATTCGCTTAACCTGTCGAAAAATATTTTTTTGTCTTAAACCCCTGATTGCAATAGGGTATTTATTTTAGATTGTAAATATACCTGTGTTCCCAGAAAGAGGCAAGGCCATCTTGTCCATCTTGAGAGGGCTTGTAGTGACGATTGTCTTTGGGCATTGTTATCTCAGGGCCATTGAATACCTGATAAGAAAATTATAATAGTTGTTTAGAGAAATCAGAGCCACTAAATACATATCAACATTACTGATATTAATTAAATTTGTACTATTTCTGAAAAGAATTATGCCTTTTAGTGTTCTAGTAATTTGTAAATAAATATACAAACACACTATTTATTTTGCACACTCGTCAAGCCCTAATGAGATATATTTGTATAATTTATCATTAACAAATAGATGATCATTTTGGTTTGAAATTTTATTTCCACACAAACTAAAACATACAGCACACAACTTCCTTTATTATTACACGCACAATTTTAAATTATTTAGTATAGTTTTTTTAACTAATTATTTATTTTTGGTAGGCTGTGAATAAGATTTGACAATTGCCAAAATAAATATATTTTTTTTAGATTTCTACTAATAATAGTTTATTTTGTTCCCAGCCAATACAATGATTTAATCTCTTCTCTTCTAGAACTCTCCATAAGAGATAATGCTTTATACTATTTTAATGAAAACAGAATATACATGTATTAGTCTATATTTATTTATATATAGTCAACATTCCGTTTGTATTTTTTGTAATTGTTTGTGATGTGAATGTAAAATTAAGAGATTTTTTTTAAGATTCACAGATAAAATATATTTACTTACACTAGGCTCATTCATATCGTTCCAAATATGGACATCCTTATTTGTCCCTGGGAAGTTTTCAAAACGGTATCTTTCCGCAAAGTACTTGAAGGCAGCCGGATTGTGGAAGTCAGGGTATGATGATGAACCGGGCCAGCACCAACCTTGGGACGAAATAAATAAATGCAATACGATAGTTAAAAAATTTGGTTTAAATACCATATTTTAATTTAAATTTAGAACTTTTTTTGATATTCGGTACATTTTAGTAGCAAAGGCCTTGTAAATAATATTAGGCATTCAACTAAATAAAATATAATTTATTAATGAAGGTAACTTTTGTATAATGAATATGGAAAATCAAATGTCCCTTAATTATAATAAATACTATACTTGGATTAGATGTAGATAAATATAAATTAAATGTTTATTGCCTTTAGGGAGCGTTCAAGTATTACGTTACGAAATTTTTGGAGATTATTGCCCCCCCTCATTGTAACGTTGATCTGTACCCAATAGTAAAACGTTTCGTGACCACACAGTGATTCTTTATACCTAAAACTTACCATTATGTGGTGAAAAGTACTGGAAAGTCGAAAATAATATTAACAATAGGAACCCCCAAATTCGTTACGTAATACTTGAACGCACCCTTAGTAATTTTTAATTGAATACAAAACTATTACACCATTAATTATCATTCGATACCACTATCACCAATACTCAGCCATAACTCAGTCTTAAGAATAGGCAACACAAATGCTGTAAATGTCATAAACAAACTATTACACAGTTAAAATAATCCAGAGCATAGAGCAGAAGACAACGAGTAGGAAGAATTTGTCCGCCACTTCTTTTAAAACATATTAATAGCAAAGAAAGGTACCTTCATAATCATTTCCATCCTTGTTCTTAATATACAGTCCCTGTTCGGTGCAGTCCTCGTGGAAGAAGTAGCCGGCCTCTCTCTTTATGTGCGGATCAATGATGACCACCATCTTCCGCCCTTTGGCTGTTAGGTTCCCCACCATTTCAGCTGGATGAGCGAATTTTATCGGGTGCCAGGTGAAATATCTACAAAATATTGTGAATGTTAAAATTTAACTAATAAATAGGTATTATATATAATAAGATATTATGGATTTTCTGGTGTTATAAAGTTGATATATAGAAAAAAATTCTTAGACAATTCACTTATACCTCTACTATTTTACGGAAGACTTTATTATAGACATGGTGTTTTTATTTCTTACTTTAACTTGCTGAACCATCCGTTCACATAGATTCTCCAGGTATATTGTGTGATTAACTGAGCCAACCAGAAATCTTGTCTTGTTTAATAAAAAAAAATCATAATTCCAAATATTGAAATGAAATTTGCTAAAAAATCTGAATATACTTAAGTCGAAAAAACTTAAAGAATATTTAACTTTAAAATAATGCAAATTACATTGACTTTTAAAAGCTAACTGTTGCTAGTTATACTCACTTCCTGTTGTCAGTGTATTCAATATCCAGCCAGATAACATCCAACGGTATGTCATGAGAATCGAATCCCTCATCCACAGACCTCACATCAGCTTCATCAACATAATTCCATCTGGACTGGTGATACGCCAGAGAAAATTTCTGTAAAATAATAATTATTTTATATCAAAACTTTTATATATATATAAAATGAGACTATGCCTAACATACATTTTTCTTATCTAGATAAGAAGTAGATGCGTAGATGTCTTCACCGTTCGAGCAAATGTTAAATGCGCACATAGACAGAAATTCAAAGCTGGGGATCGAACCTACGACCTCAAGGATGTGAGTCATAAGCTGAAGCCACTAGGCCAACACTGCTGCTTAGATTGCGGTTCAGTGCGATTCAATATTTACACGATAATATCCAAAACTCAGATTTGCAGTTACGCAAATAGAATTCGCACATATCAAGATTTAGATTTTAAAATATATTTCAAAATCTAATAAATAAAATATAAATCAAAAAAGTCAATATATTATTTTGTTAGAAATTGAATTGATTAATGGTATATATTATAATGTATATTATATGCCGACTGAATTTAATTTTGTCAAACAAGTGTAATAAAATCGAACTTCATGTAGACGAAACAGGTAGTAATAAAGAACCAAAGTTACAATTACCGGTGGTAAAGGTGTGACTCCAGTCAGCGTCGAGTATTGACGGTACACATCAGATGGCGCATCACCCATTAATACGAAGATGTCCACCACACCACTTTCACTCATAAACCTGGAATTATCAACATAAATAAAATTATTATATTAACGGTTATAAAACCGATACTAGTCTAGTATCACACTCCTCAATTTCTTTTTAAATTAAATTTTAATTTGTATTTTAAGATTATTGATTCAAATATTTATTGATTTAAGTCAAAGTCAAATCATTTATTTCAATTAGAACACCTAAAATGGCACTTTTGAACGTCAAAATATAAAGATGATTCCAGTTGCCCCTTCCAAAAGGTAGTTTCGTGTGGAGAAGAATGGAGCTTTATCATTTGTCAATCTAATAGGCAAGTGATCAACTTTTTGGGTCTAAGGTTTCGTCACGATGTTTTCCTTCACCGTTCGAGCGAATGTTAAATGCGCACATAGAAAGACAGTCCATTGGTGCACAGCCGGGGATCGAAACTACAACCTCAAGGATGAGACGCATCCTGAACCCACTAGGCCAAAACTGCTCATTACATTACAATTTACCAAGTTTTCTTATACCTGTAATAAATTATCTTTATAATCTAATACTAACCTGGCATCCACACGTCTCTTCTGTCCACCAGTGACCAGATTGACCAAAGAAGAGACCACATTCCCTTCTCCATAGTTGACCACGTCGATCCATGTCTCAGCTGAATTGTGCCAGAATACACCCACTGAACGCTTTGGCCTATAAATTTTTTTAATTAAATGTTTATTTAAACATCGTCAAATAGGCAATATTTTGTTTAAAATAGTAATGGCCTTATTATAAAACGTGATTTAAAAATAGTACCAATAAAGTGTAGCTTATACTAGCTTAATTCCATATTTTCTGATATCGCAAAATATAAGGAAAGGAAAAATTTCTTGTTAAAACAGAACAAGTTATCTTTATATATATACTAGTAGACTCGGCCAAGCGTTTCTGTGGCTAAGGTTTTTGTTACATTACGTCATAGTAGTAAACTATCCAAGGGAAACAGTACGGGTCATAGGGACGACCATGCTTCTTTGTTGGTTATGCCATTAAATAGTAGCTTATGTGAAACGTTGGTACTTTCAACACAGCGCCATCTGTTAGAATTGTGACTGTCAAATAATCAACAGATAATTTGCAATAAAATAATATTGCGGCTATAAATTAAAATGTAAGCTATCCTATCTTTTAAGTTGGATCAAACTGCACACGGTGTGCAAATTTAATTTAAAATCGGTTAAGTAGTTTAGGAGTCCATCGCGGACAAACAACGTGACACGTGATTGATATATATTAAGATAAAAATGTTATGTTGGTTTGTGTATGGTTCAAAAACTCGAAAAGTTCTGCACCAATCGAGCTAAATGCGGATTATATCAAGGATTGTTTTATCTTCTTTTTTCCACAAGTGTTGCAAAATTAAACTTATATGGAATGTATTCTTTGTTTTGTTTCTCATTTCTCAACCTTTCAATCACAATGTGCCACAGCGAAGCGTGGCTGAGTACAGCTAGTTGTCTATATAAATTGATTTAGAACTGTTCAAAAGATATGGTAAATATTCCGTATCGCGGCACCAGCGATTTTGAGGCTGATTTTTTTTAAAAGTCGCGTTATGATCTGTAAACATCATAAATTGTATTGTTATGATGGCGCATGAAAAAAAATTCAATTTATTAAAAAAAAATATTAATATACTAACCTAACCGAACAATATTAATAATAGGTTTTTTGGACAGCTCCGGCGCTGCCCTCTTCCTCCGCGCTTTCGATTTTTTTTATACACTCTAGGGGTAAGGCAGGCAAGACCACGTGGATAGTGGGGTGCTCTGATTCGGTTTTGGGTACATTTTGAATTTTTTTTGGCAAAAAAGGTCATGCGACATCATAACAACTCTAGTTATGGTGCTAACTCATGACGAAGTCATAAAAAAAATCAGCCTCAAAATCGCTAGTGCCGCGATACGGAATATTTACCAAAGTTTTAATTTAACTCTTTGTTCAGTAAGAGCAACAGAAACTTACCCATGAGCATACATAACAGGAATAGAGCCGTATATAGCCATACGACTGTCGAGTTCATACTCAAACACATCCAAGTTGTACAATCTGTATGGTTCACCAGATGTCGTGGTCTTAAGATGGAATCCGTCCGTATGTTCCGGGATACCTAACAAACCCATTTTATACATATCATATTATATACATTAAAATACTATCAATACTTTTTACTTTATTCTAATAGGATGCTGTCAGTCTTGTGTCAGCTGTCAAACACAGATTAATAAATAAACTAGGTCAGTGACTTAAACAAATAAGACCCTTGTTAAGGAAACTTTTGTTACTGTACTTATAAACATTGCTATGACTCTGGCGTCTAGACGATAGATTAAAAAAAATATATAGAAATTTCAATGCGTTTGCTAAATAATAATTTTAAGGTACACCCCTTTAAAAAAAATTACTAATATCTGACGATTTAAAACTCTAAAAAGTGTATTTAGTTAAATTTATGTGTAAAATAGTTGTTTATTACAGCTATTTCGTTTTACCATAAGCCTGGTCAGCATCAGGGAATGCCACATCGATGGAGACAGCTTCGTTTCCTCTTGGTTTACTGTCATGATGAGATTTGAAGTTCTCGGCCAATGAACCTTCCTGAATATAACAAAGAAATGCATGTTTAATAGAATAAAAAATAATTTTGTGTATAGAAATTTTTATTCGCCAATTACTTTAAGTAATTGGAATAGCTTTATATTTATGTATTTTTATTACGTATTTATATAACCTGGTATGAAATAGGTGTGAAGTGTTTTATGTATGTATTTTTTAACGCCATAGGTTTGGTAACGCAATGTCTAAATCTAAGTTCTTAGATTCAATTCCTGGCGAAAACTATTATATTGGCTGATTTCCGTTCCTATCATTATTTAGCTAATAAATATTGTAAATCACTTTTTACCACAATGAAAATCTGTTTAATGGTTTTGAAATAAAATTTATTTTTCCTCATTAAAATTTAACTTACTTATTAATTAGTGCACGTATGTCTACAGACATCAATTGTACCGTTTTATTATTGTAACATAAGGTAAATTGATAATGTAATATGTTTATAATAACATGTAGGTATATGATGTATTATTATATAGTTATTAAATAGTATGTAGTTATTTTGGGCTGGCGATCTGAGTGAGTTGTTGCTCCACATATTTTTATGGTGCCACTGGCGGTATTGCTGTGTACCGGGTTGTGCAGCTCCCTCAAAAATGGTTGAGCTGCATGAGCTATTCGGGGCATGCTTGCCGTCTGCTGGCACAGGCTTGCTCAGATCGATCTGGTTCTTTCTTCCAAAGACCAGACCTAATTTATTAATTTATTATTGTATTATCTGGACTATAAAAGAGACTAAGACCCCCGAGTTTGTTTCGACATTTCTTCTCAGGGCAGTCAGTTAGGAAATGTCGACTTCATCTAGTTTAGGATGACATTGTAAAAGTGATTTATATAGTCCTACTTGCAAGAATAAACTATTTCATTTCATTACATTCATAATATATAATAGCTTACGTGAGGTCATATTTTTGGTATCGTAACGCGTGTATTTACAATTTAATTATAGATTATATAATTAGGACACAGCTGATAATGCTTAAAAACTGTATCAATCTGTTCATTTATAAATTAGTTTATATATTGATCTTTTAAGCTATGACATATGTAACACATTTATAAAAAAAATTTATAAATTTTTGGGAAAAAATTTTTCTTAAAAAAAAAAAATTTTTTTCCCCCGAACCCCTATTATATTTTTTCCCCCCGGCTTTCCCCTTGCCGTCGAAGCTAGACTGATAAGACATTACTTTAATAAATGCAATGTCAAATAACAAATAAACGCCATTACAATTCACCTGACTTATGACATATTCATTCATCATCAATCATTCAAGTAAACAACCTTATTAAAAGAGTCTATGCTGAAAGAGAACTGGCGTCTGGAACGTACGTTATTGTATTTATTCCAAATTACAGTCGAACTAATCACGTAACAGTATTGTGAACAAAAGGTGTGCTATCTGCATCCTCAATTTATCAAAGTCGGACAAAACGAGTAAGCCATAATTCGTAATATAGATTAGGGAGCATTCAAGTATTACGCCAAGCAATTTTTAGAGATTATTGAACCTCCCTTCCCCCCCACCATGTAACGCGCCGTAACGTTTTTCTGTACCCAGTGACTCTTTATACCCATTATGTGGTAAAAAGTACTGGAAAGTCGAAAATAATATTAACAATAACGCGTACTTCAATCCCCGGCCCACATCGTAACGTTTTACAAAAGGACCCCCCTCCCCAAAATTCGTTACGTAATACTTGAACGCTCCCTAAGACATAATCTCACTTGCTCATTTAATATAGATAACTTAAGAATTGTTTTCAAAGCGCATAGGAAGTGATACTAGGATCAACATCTATCAGTCACGTATATAGATAAGCCAAGATCATTGACATCTCATTGTTGATAATAAATAAACCACATGCGCTAATCTTATTACGTATTAATGTTGCCCTACTTTCAATACTAGCTTCATACTCCAGCTTCGCTTTACATATGCACCTTTAAATAAAGATTAATAAAATCTATGGTTACCTTGCTTATACTTCAATTTAGTAATAGAAAAATATTTTTATTATTATATTTATTCTATACATTGATCCAATCAATATTACAAGCTAGATCAAGTTTTATATATATTTTGTATAAATGTCAGAGCTAAAAATGCATGTGTGAACCCTCTTAAATTTTTTTTAAAGAATACATTAAGGACATTCTTAATAACTATTTACATATCTTTTAACTGTTATTGTCATTTAGGATAATTAATTCAGAAAAATTTACTTTAAATATCTATTACATTATTAACACATTTTTCAAAAACTTCTAAACCAATTTGTGATAAAACTGAATCTCTTGTTTAATAAGATCGTAAGTATACCTGATTATTCCAAAAAAACAATCATCTTAATATGACTTATTAGTTTCCCGAGTAATTTGTAATATACATACATTGTTCCAAATTCCTATAATATCATATAAATACAAGTCCACCTGACAACCTATTTTCGTTGAAGTCACATAAAAATTATACCATATTTGGTTTAAAAAGCATTAAAATAATAATATAGAAAGCATTATCAACAGACAAGAACAGAAACAAAACAATAAACAAACAAAACACTCACTATATCAGTCTCCTCTCCATCCCCATTTCTAACCTTCAATGGCTCTACAAATAGCTGAGCATTGTCATTCAAGACAACTGCTGGTTCACCATTCTTATCAAGGAACTCAAATTTGAGAGGCTCAGCTGTAATAATTACTTTGTGCCCTTGTGAGTTTTTCAGTGTCAGTTTACCATTTTCATTTGATATCAATTTCAATCTGAAATAAATGATGGAAGAAAATTTATAGTTAAGATATAATTTTGTCATAGTTATATTCAAACATTAATTTTTAATGAAAAATCGATGCATACCTTAAACTCTTATTGACATTACAATAAAAGATAATTTAATACTGCAACAATCTTAAATCCTATGATGCAGTTTTCATATGATTTTTTAAAATTAAACACATATGTAAAAAATACTATTTAATATATTACTATTTATAAAATATTGATAGTTATATCAATATTCTATAATTTAATAGTATTATTTGTTGTATTTAATTTAATGGATCATAAGAATTAACAGGTTACATACATATTATATGATAAAATAATGTTGTTGTATGTAATATACAAAAAAATTTAAATTTCTAAATGTATTTCAACTTGAACATCGAAATTTATTAAATAACTTTAAATCACTTACATATCCCCCTTTGGTTCCCCATCAAGAGCAACCATGGATCTATATCGAGGGTACAATGGTTCAGCCTCATCTATTTCAACACGAAAAGTGCCATCAACAAGTGCTGATAGGCGGAGAGCATAATGCCACTAAAACCCAAAAATTTATTTTAAAAATTAGTACTGAAAAAGAAATAAGCCTACGCAAAGCATTTACAAATGCAAATTTTAATAGAATAAAGCAAGTTTTTCAAGGCTTTTATAATTATGGCGCCAGAGATGCTGAAGGCCTTTGTTTAGAAAGACAAAGACTTGGATGATACACAACAAGATAAAACAAATTATTACCTCAACATTTTTCTTTTCTCCATTATTATTAACTGTGATTACTTCTGCCGAAAGAACGTTACCGTGCACGAAAACACTGTCTAAATTCAAAGTGTATTGAGATTTCTCAGGCTTCAGAGGACGTAATCTTTTACAAAATCCGGACTGATCGCATGTTTTAAAATTATTTCTATCCACACATATACAGTTATTAATAGAAAATGCAGCAACCAAAAGAAGTGTTAATGTCTTCATTCTAAAAAAACAAAATAAATTAAATACCTATGATTCGTCAAATTAAGTCAAAAGCACCGGTGGTAAAACGATGAGCCAAGGAAGCTATTTCTTACTTACGTAGAAGTGGACTATATTGCTATTGTATATTATACTCCAGATTTAAGATTTCACGGGTTCATTTCAAAAGCGATTTAATAAATATACAGAAAATCGTAAAAGAAACGATATAATGCACGCTTGCGTTACGTGGAGAAATTTCGTTTGAATTGAGGTCAATTGTCAGTTCTTCTTTGACATTCGTTTCCGATATTGACAATTCATATATGTCAAAATAATCGGTTAGCGAATTAAACCAAAACAAAAACAGACTTAAGTTTCACACGTCATACTTATTTAATGGAATTAATTGCTGTAAATTTTGCACGGACCCCATTTTCTTTATTTCAAAAACGTTGTGCGTCCGTGATACAAAAAATGTCAACTCCATCTAAGTGGACTGTGGAAAAGAATCGTATTCTTAGTTTACCTATCGAAGAAAAAAGGAAGTTGTATAAGTCAGGAGACTTCGTTACTTTAAATCAAATAGATCCATGGTGCAATTACGTAGTCAGGAATAAAGAGATCGAAACCAAGAAGCATAACCTGGAAGACCTCAACGAATTTCGAAAGATAAAGTTGGACCAAGAAAAAAACAAACTTTTGGCTGAAAAGGTTTCTGTATACCGTGGAGATATAACTAAGCTTGAGGTAGTTTCTTTAATAATTTCGGCGTTTATTTATGACTCACAAAATTTAATTTTTAAATATACTGTAAACATTTTAATTATTTCTTTTAGATAGATGCCATAGTGAATGCAGCAAATTCTCGCCTTAAAGCGGGGGGTGGAGTTGATGGGGCCATTCATAGAGCTGCAGGATCATTGCTCCAGGTATTTCTTCAGCCCTATAATATTAGTATTGTAAATCTTGTTATTAATATTAAGATGTTCCATGTTCCCCTCCCTCTACAGTGAAAAATTTGGTAACTTAAATAATAGTTCTATTAACATAGATGTGTGAATGTTTTATTCTCTGATGGTAACATTTTTGCAGGATGAATGCAATTCAATTGGAGGTTGTCCAACTGGTGATGCTTGTATAACAGGTGGATATAATCTACCGGCAAAATGTAAGTTACTAATATTGTCTACTTGTGTCAGTATTACTCTGCACTAGCTTTAGCAATAAAGCAATTAAATTAGGTAGTCTATAAAATTTTGGTAACATAATAAAGTGCTATGTGAAGAATTAAATACTCTTAAAGAATATTACCTTAAATGCCTATAAAAACCCAACCTAAACCTATTTTCAGATATCATTCACACTGTGGGACCGCAAGATGGATCAGCTCCAAAACTTCTGTCTTGCTATGAAAAATGTCTTTCATTTCAAAGTCAGTATCGTCTAAAATCCATAGCTTTTCCATGTATTTCAACTGGAATCTATGGCTTCCCTAATCGCCTTGCTGCTCATATAGCTCTTCGTACTGCAAGGACCTTCTTGGAAAATAATGAAGAACTTCAAAGAATTATATTTTGTACTTTCATGCCAATTGATGTTGAGATTTATGAAACACTCATGCAGATGTACTTTCCTCTGCATGAATGGAATTACAATGATGGAGCTGCTGTTTCAGAATAATTTGAGAAACATTATTTGGATTCTGTTGTAGTATGTTTAATGTGTATGTATGGCGCACAAATAATTTTATAAATTAAAATTGAATATGTACTGCTTTTTTTAATAAGCCAAAATGGGCTGTGATTTTAATAAAATAATGATTGTGTTTATTTTTTATCATTACTCAACCCTATATTAAGAAAGCTTCCTGTAGCCTGTAGACAGAATATATTATTATTTAACATATTTCAAGTAAAATGTTAAATCAGCATAAATTTTAATTTATTTTCTTCAAAAAAGATAAATGCATTAATTGATAAAAATAAAGCTAATTTAAAAATAGGACTAAATTAGGTATAATAAAATAATTACAACTGAACAATAAAAGATAACATACAAATTTGAATTATAGTTAATTATTTTTAATCATCATTTGCTTAAAACCAATCAGCAAATAGCTGTTGCTGGTTAACTAAATCAGTCTTTGTAATCTTCTTAGTTCCTGTTTCTTCATCTCAAGTTTTTTATTATCTTCAATCTGAATCCTATTGGGGACTTTATTTATATAATGATTACTTGCTAATTTTGTTTCTAGTTTTACTAAATTTTCCTCTATCTTCTTAATTTTCTTTTGCAACTTTGTTTTAGCTTCTAATATTATGCTATCTGCATGTTCTCCTGGTATTTCTACAAAAATATCTGTTGTCTCATTTAATATTGAATGAACATACTTTTTGTTTTTCAATTCATCAAAGCTTATTTCACTACACCTAGTTAAATTCAATGCTACCAATAAATTGCTTTGAAAATCATCTTTTAATGTAACATCCCTTGTTTTAATAACTACCGATGGCCTTTCCTTATTTGAAATGCCGTAGAATCCTTTGATTTCTCTTACTAAAAATATTGTTTTTAGAAATATTTCCACACGATTTTCTAAATATGTGTTTCTGAAACATTTAAATGTACTACTTTCTGGAAGTTCAAAAAAGTCATTGTTTATGTCATTGAAATTAACAATTATATTCTTTTCAAACGCAGGTATTTTTGGAATAATCTCGTCAGTTAAATAAATCATAAACGGCGATAACGATCTTAAAGACGTATTTAATACTGCTGATAATGTGTGTGCGTGGGCAAACGCGAGTTTTGCATTAATATCATCAAAACCAGGTTTAGTGGCTTCTAAGTAGATATCGCAAAATTCATGGTAAATAAATGTTTTCAATGCCTTTGTGGCTATATGGAATTCATATTTTTCCATAGCAACATTTACTCTGTCCACCATTTCTGACAATTTACTCAAAATCCACTGATCAAAATATGTTAAATCTTCTTGTTGTAAGTCTAAATTTATTTTTTTCAGCTTTGCAAAGGATAACTGTGTATATTTAACACTCTGCCAGATTTTGTTGCAGAATAATTTGTTTGCATTACATTGATGGACATCAAAGTTGACAAAATGTGATTTCACATCTTGAGACATCAACGTAAATCGTAGCGCATCAACACCACATTCAGGAATACCATTAGTACTAGAAAAATTTGCTTTATGATAAGCCAGAGCTTTGTTTAATTCATCTTTATTAAGTATGCCTTCTTTAAACATTTCAACTGAGTTATCTTTTAAACCATCCATTGATATTCCACTGATAACATCAATTGGATTTATAACATTTCCTTTACTTTTGGACATTTTGGCACCTTTACTGTCACAAATTATTCCATGTAGTAGTACATTTTTAAATGGTAATTCATCAGTTAATTCTAAGCCTAACATCACCATTCTATGTACCCAAAAACCCAGAATATCATGACCGGTCACCAACTGTTGTAAAGGGTAGAATTTTTTATAATCCTGACTCTTTGTTTCTGGCCATCCTAAGGATGAAAATGGATAGATGCCAGAAGAAAACCAAGTATCCAGAACATCAGAGTCTTGTTCAACTGTTATATTTTCTGGCACAGATCTAAGGAATTTTGATGCTTCAACCCTAGCAGTTGTTTCATTGGTTGCAGCTATCCAAACAAAGTTTTTGTCTATACTACATTTATAAGCTGGTATCTGATGTCCCCACCATAGTTGTCTAGATATACACCAATCTCTACAGTCATTTGTCCAATATTGCCATTGTTTAGTAAAATGATCTGGTTCAATCTTTAAGTGACCTTCTTCAGCTACTTGGGCTGCTCTTTCATTCAATAATGCACAAGATAAAAACCATTGTTCCTTTGGCAAATATTCAATAACATCACCTGTACGGCTACAAATAGGTAATGACATTTGATGAGTAGTCACTGATTTAAGAAGCCCTAAATCTTTAAGATGTTCCACAAGAATTTCTCTACAATCATATTTCTTCAAGCCATTAAATTTTCCTGCATTTTCCATACAACCATTTTCATTAATTACTTGTAAAAGAGGTAAATTATTTTGTTTTGCTATCTCAAAATCAACTTTACTATGAGCAGGAGTAATTTTAACTGCTCCAGTCCCAAAAGACATATCTACAAAACTATTTAAAATTATTGGAATTGGTTTATCTCTAAAGGGGTGATGAATTAGTTTACCATGAAGGTGCTTGTATCTGAAAATAAATAAGAAAATAATTGTCACCATTGTATATTATTATAAAACTTATATTCTCATAAAATTAAGTTTATTTTACCAAATAACACACCTAGAATCTTCAGGATGCACCGCCACTGCCGTATCTCCTAGCATTGTCTCTGGCATTGTGGTACAAACAACAATTTCTTCAGTACTATCAACAATCTTATATGCAAAGTTATAAAGCAGACCAAATTTTACTGGCTTATCATATCCCGGCAAAAATCTTTCAGTCACCTGAGTTAAGCCAACATTTTCAACTTCTATGTCAGATACTGTTGACTTCAGTGCATTACACCAATTAACAAGGCCTTTGTTTCTATATATTAAACCTTTGTGGAATAGATTTAGAAAAGCAGTAGTAACAGCGTGAGAATGGTTTTCATCCATTGTGAATATTTCCCTAGACCAGTCTAATGAACACCCAAGCATTCTAAGCTGATTAGAAATTGTATTGCCATGTTTCTCTTTCCATTTCCATACCTCTCTTGTAAACTCTTCTTTACCCATAGAGTGACGGTCAATATTTTTTTGCTTCTTTAAATATTTCTCAACAACTCTCTGAAAATGATTATATCTTACTATTTCTTTTAGTAGCTTGTAGAACAAAATAAAAATTTTTTTTTTTTTAATACCTGTGTTGCTATGCCAGCATGATCAGTCCCTGGTAACCACATAACATTATATCCTTGAGACCTTTTCTTACGAGCAATAACATCTTGTATCGTACATGATAGTGCATGTCCTGAAAAATTAATAAATAAAAATACTCAGACAAATATAGATTACTTACTTTCAAGCTTAAATCAGTGATTGACGAATCTATGAATGAGTGATAAATTATAGATAGATAAATGACCGACACCAAGATAAAGATAAGCTTATATAATTTTGGGTTAAGTTTTATGAGGTTATTATTTATCTTCCAAGATAATCTGGGAAGTCAGAAAATGATTCTCAATATGCGGCTGACTTGAATTCTATTTAATAAAACAGCTACAATTTTTTAAAGTAGAATACAAAACTAACCTAAATGCAACTTTCCAGTTACGTTTGGCGGAGGTAAAACCATACTAAATAGTGGCTGATCATTTAATTTAGCGTGATGTAGTTTCGATTGCTCCCATCGTTTATATTTATCTTTTTCAGTAACTTCTGGTTTGTACGCTGTACACGGCAAAGCTTCTTTCGGAAGAATTGTTGAAGTACTGGATCTAAATCTCTTTAGAAGAGTTATATTTCGTGCATGATAACTCAAAATCATCTTAAGTTTAATAGAGGTACTTAAAGTAAGTTACCACCTCCCAAATCTACTTAAATTGGATTACAGGAACATAAAATACATTATATAGTTCATAGATGTTGTTGACTTTTGAATCAAAACATTGTGATTTTATCACAGACACAGAGTATTAACATTTGTAATATGATTATTTGTTGACAGCTTATTAAGTATTTGTCCAAAACCATCTGTTAGTACTTGTCTAATTCCCTGTGTCAACCATCTGTCAATCTGACTGACCGACAACCGTGACCGGCGACCGACCGATCACGGTGTTTTTTAAAATCTTGTTCAAGTCACAAGTGTGTTATGGCAGTTTTATTTGTAAAATGTATTTAATAAATGTTAAGGAACTGTGAAAGTAGACTATTGTTTATTTGATTGTCAAACACATTTAATTCTTTTCAAAGCCGGTTTTTGCCTTTTAGTTCAAACAAAGAATCTTTTCAACAGCAATTTCTTATCGTCAAACCACGGTCGTTACTTATCGTCTAATTTATTGATAAAATAGTATTTATACTATCTACCCGATTGTAGTTCCGTTTCCTTGACCGTTTCTATCAAAGTCATTTTCCATCAGTTCTAAATAGGACGTTATAAAATGTCGTTGTTAATATATTTGAATCCCTTTAGAGTGTTTCGAGACTTTGTTCGTGCACCGGTCGAAAGTTTTGTTACTGACCAGTATATGGGGTATAAAAAGAAAACAAATGAAAGTATCACCAGCGTCAAGGAATTAATATATAGAGCTGGTATTTTATTAGTGTTTTTCTCTGCTATATTATGGATATCTATATTTATGTATATAGCATTTTATTATACATATATGCCAAATGTTACTCATGTTAGGCCAGTTCACCTGCAATTTAAGTAAGTATTGTTTAGTACCTTCTATTATAATGTTAACCATATATTATCTTTAGTCATAATATACTGGTTAATTACTATTCTTAGATTGTTATAATAGTTTCATCTATAACATTTTATATCTTAATATACAATTACTAATAATTTCATTAGAAGTATAAATAAATTAGTGCATTAAGATAATTGAAAATTAAAGTTTTATAAGTTATCAAAATAAAACCTCACTTAAGAAAATATTATTTAGTTTTATTGAAATGTAAACTTTTCAGATCCTGTGAGGATCAAATGGGCCTCTGTTCCTATCCTTATGCTTATGTTCAGCTAACAAAAGCCAGTTATGTTTTAATGTCAGGGCAGCCCTACAGAATCAAGTTAGTCATGGATGTGCCTGAATCACCTAGCAATAAGGACCTAGGTATAGCATTTTCAGAACTTCTTTAACATCATGAAAGTCACTTAGAACATAGAGTAATTCAAATGATGTAATATAAATTTAAGTAATAGTGTAGTTTTATTTCATCTTGTAGTATTTGAAAATAGTAAAACAAGTGCAATTTCATGAAAGTTCAAAGTTATATAAAGCTTATTCATTTACAGGTATGTTCATGGTGTGCCTACAAATGCGTGGAAAGGGAGGTACATTAGTCTCCTCTTCATGCCGATCAGCTATGCTTAATTATCGGTATGTTATATTTCTTATTAATAATTATAACACTACATCTGCAATTATTATACCACTATATGATGATATTTGGTTGTATAATATAATTGGAAGCTTGAGTAGTGTTGTTTTTAATAAATAGTCCAGGATTGTATATCTATACTAATATTATAAAGTGGAAATATTGTTATGTAAGTATGATTGTAACGAAATGGCTCAAAAAGTTCTGGACCGTTTTTATAAACTCTTTCACCATTGGAATGCTACATTATCACTGATTAATATAGGCTACTTTAATTGCAAGAAAAAATTAAGGATCCCTACTAAAACTATAATGTTACCCAAGGTGTAAAAAAAGCATATAAAATATCTTTCATCTCATTCGCTGCGAGAACTATTGATGATAGAACAAAAAAATGTTCCACAATATTAAGAGCATATCAATATCTACAAAAAATGTTTAAAAAATAAGTGTCCACCCATGTGAAGCTGGGATGGGCCGCTAGTTCAATAATATATTTCAGTACATTATTTCGCTATTATGAAATGTATAACCTCTTCCAAATTTGAATCAGTTTGGCGAGGCCCAGGTTTAAGATCCTTGTATATATAGTTTTATTAAGCAGGCTAACATTTTTATTAAAATGATTATTACTTATGAAAGACCCTATATCCGTAAATGTATCGTTATATATTCTCTGCTTTAAGAGTTTCATTTTATCATCAAAACATTTTCAGGTCGAAATTGCACTACTATATCCGTACGTCGTTATTCTCGCCGCTATTTCTACTCGGAATAGATGATGAGCGACAGGAAATACAAGTGGAGCTGTTTAGCGATTTTCAAGATGATCCAGTGAGTAATGTTATAACAACGCATTTTGGGTTTTATGACTTAAATAGATTTCTTTTATCTAATATATAAAATTCTCGTGTCACAATGTTCGTTCCCATACTCCTCCGAAACGGTTCGACTGATTCTTATGATTTTTTTAATATATATTCAGTTAGTCTGAGAACCGGCTACTATCTATCTTTTAAACCCCTAAGTGATAAGGGGTGTCCAACCCAAAAAAAAATTGGATAATTTTATTTATTTTGTATTTTTTGTTATGTGGCATTAATATAAAAAAACATGCAACCCTTAATTCCTTGATAGTGATTTTTATGGAACTAAAAAATGTTTCCTAGAAATAATATACATGGCATAACAACGTTTGCCGGGTCAGCTAGTATTTAGATAAAAACAAACGAAACGTAATAGAAGTTACTGATGACACTGTCTGCTGACTGCTGATAGACATTTAGTTTTTTAGCTTTTTAAACTTTCATGACAATTCATGGGGCATCATTACTTTTTGTTTAATACTGTTCAAATAAAAATAATCATATATCACTTTGTTTCATAACGCTGAGCAGTGTTGACCTAGTAGCTTCAGCGTGCGATTCTCATACCTGAGATCGTAGGTTCGATCCCTGTATGTGCACTAATGGACTTGTCTATGTACGCATTTAACATGAGCTTGAACAATGAAGGAAAACATCGTTAGGAAACGGGCTTGCCTTAGACTCTAAAGTCGACGGCGTGTGTCAGGCACAGGCAGCTGATCACCTATTTGCCTGTTGGATTGATAATGATCATGAAACTGATACAGAAATCTGAGGCCAACCTAAAAATGTTGTAGCTCCACTGGTTGTTGTAAATAGAACGCTAGAACCGCCCTTGCAAGAATAATCTTAATATATATAAATTACGTGACACGTTGTTTGTCCGCTATGGACTCCTAAACTACTGAACCGATTTCAATCAAATTTGCACACCGTGTGCAGTTTGATCTAACAGATGGCGCTGTGTTGAAAGTACCAACGTTTCACATAAGCTACAATTTAATGGAATAACCACCAAAAAAGCATGGTGGTCCCCATGACTGGTGTCCTCCTACCGATTCCCTTGAATAGTTTGCTACTATGTAATATAACAAAAACCTTAGCCACAGCAACGCTTGGCCGGTCTACTAGTATATCATATAATATAATTCTACTATCTCTATACTTCAATGGTTTTAGAACAGCCCAGTAACTGATGCATACATCGAACTGCAGTCGCGCTTCGTGCAAGTCCATTCGTGTTCATTGCACGTCGAGGCGCACTTTTCGGGGCTACGATACGCGATGTATTATTGGCCTCGGGCCTCCGCCCTCTGCGGTGAGATTTATTAGTGAGCACCATTCATAATCTATGCGTGTCTTTGAGAATTACAAAAAAACATTGGTAGAGAAGTTCTCGTGTTCATTTAGTTAATACTTTTACTATATATGCTTTGTTAAAATTATAATAATTCAGTCAAAATCTGTTATAACGACATCGAAGGGACTACTCATATTTGGTCGTAAAAACCGATCGTCGTAACAGCCGATGACGTTATTAAGAACCTAATACAATATAATTCAGCCGGGACCTTTGATTTTGGTCAATATAACCTTTATGTTGTTCTAAAATCTAAACGATGTCGTCGTAAACGGTTTTGACTGTAGCTTTAATTTTAAAACATGGTAGGGTAAATCAAACTTAAAGTGATGTATAAATAATTCTATTAAATTATGGTCTTTGGAATCTGTATTATTCAAACTGTTATAATAATAATAATAATGATGATTTAGTACTTTTACGTCAATTTTTTTAGTATTTCAGTATGAAAACCCTGAACTGAGCACTTTGTATATGAAAAAGTGTATTTAGTAGTATGTCAAAGGGAGCGTTCAAGTATTACGTAACGCAATTTTTGGAGATTATTGACCCCCCCTTATCTCGCCGCAACGTTTAAAACGTTTCGTGACCACCTTGTGTCTCTTTAGTTACTATTATGTGGTGTAAGTCGAAAATAATATTAACAATAACGCGTAATTCAATCCCCGCCCCGCATCGTAACGTTTTACAAAAGGAGCCCCCCCAAAACGCGTTACGTAATACTTGAAGGCTCCCAAAGTCAAAATCATTTATTCATATAGGTAACACAATGTACACTTAAGAACGTCAAAAAAAAGTCTTCTTATTCAAGGGCACGCATTCCATTTATTTCATTAAATATAAATCCCAGCGAAAAACACAATACCAACGTGTCTTTTTTTCAGGAATCTCCACGAATTTATTCTTTACATCACTCGTGTTTATAATGAGCTGGTATCACTTACAAGATGGCCTGCCTGAATTTATTAAGGTAAGTATAACTATAGGTTTAACACCAAAAACCATTATAAACATTCTTTTTTTTTTATTAGCTGGATACAAAGTCCATTGGCACAAAATTAAGCAGGGTTGCCTTATGCATATATCATAATTTTTTGTTTCGTCTCAAATATTAGTCAACGCAGTACTATTAATGTTTAAAGAGCGTAATTTCTCATTACAAAAAAAAATATTTAACATGAGAAACTTAATATATACAAACGAAATTCACGTCGCCATGAGGCGTTCCAATTTTAGTCTACTAGGCTCATTCTGATATATATCTTTAATGCCATTTGAATTGGTTAAACGCGCTTATATTACGAATTTTAAACGGTAATTGATTAAATAATTGAACACCCTCATACTTAATACTTCTTCAAATAATTTGTACGCGGCTTCGGCAAGATACTCGTCGAGCGAGTTTGCGTGTAGTGGTGTGTATTCAAGACAAGAAAAACGAATGCCAAGTATTTAGCATACGATATTATTACGATAAAAATACATATACATTTTGTAATCTTAAAGACATTACAACCAGATTAAAAGACGTTTATTTTTTGCGTTTTAGTTCAGTGTCAAACACCAGGGTCAGTTTAATAAGAACAAATACTTTAAATTCGCTTAATTTTGATGAATTTTGTATCTTAGACCAAAAAACAACCTTCTTATTGTAATTATTGTATTAACTATAAACTATTTATGAAGGTGCCAAGGTTATAATTAATCGAATGATTAATGTTAATATCAACTACGAGGACAGATAAATATATAAACCATGGTGTAATTGTTCTCAGAATAAATTCAAGACAGAAGTCAAAAGTGAACCAGATGAAAAGAAACAAGTTAGCAAAGTGAAACTTGAACGGAAAGGTAAGAAACTTGAAAAAAAGAAAGTTCTCTATATTCGCCACAGCTGATGTGGTACAAAGAAGATTGGTCTAACTTATAGTGTCACTTTTCACCATAGAGTATACATAAAGACGCGAGACGAGCGTAGACGGATTTAGGTTTTGAAATTGAGTGTGCAAATGTGTCTGACACGAGCGTATCTATTAAAAAGTCTATAGCACTGACTTACTTGCTAACTTACGCTTTATTTCCACCCTGGATGTGAACCCAAGACCGGCAGTCCCATAATATAAAAAAAAATATGTATTTACTAAAGACCGTTGCAGAGTTGACACTGGTGGTATAAGAATACTTTTATACATCTAAGAGATTTGTTATAAAGGACCAAAAAGATTTAAGTGGGGGCCCAATTCACGAATTTGGCAACTAGTTAACGGTTATCGTCGAGTTTTTATTTTATTTTATTCCATGGCCACCTATATCCTCGCCGATATCAAGATTGATCATTCCGATAAACGAGCTAGGTTTGGACATTAATAGTAGTCTCACACTTTGAAATGAATTTTTATTTAGTTTTTATATCCGTGCTGAGTCTTGCTTGTTTCAGTCGGAGTTATCGTCTAGCCTAATAAAATGTTGCCATGTGTTACCTATGCTCTCTATTACCGCGTTAGTATTCGCTGCTGAATTAAAAAAAAATACAATTATATGTTTATAATAATCTGTAATATAGAGGATATTAAATATATCCGTAGGTCTAGTATTGGGGTAAAACAGAGACAATTTAATTTTAATTATAAAGTAATTTCATAAACTTGAAGATATAGTTGCGTACACAGTTGGAGAATACAATTTGTATCTGAATTTCTTTATAGATTCATTTCCATTGATTGAAGAAGAGGCTCTGGCTATTCTAGAAGAATATCAAACGTTGGAGAAGAAGAAGACGTAGACTGAATTATTTATAGCTTTAATTTTATCCCTAAAGGGAAACTGACATTGTTTTAGACTGAGAATATAAATTTATTTTTAATATGTTGAAAAGTTTAGTAAATCGTTTTGCCGTATACTACATATAATAAGTTTTTTGTGTTGCAGTAATATAATAGTTTTATACTAATTGTACCTGTATACTGTTTCCATAATATAAATGTGATTGTTTGATTAACTGCAATGTAAATAAACATTAGAAATGCTATATTTAAAAAGCTTTAACAAGTGTGAGCTTTAAATGTATTCTACTAAGCACCGTTCCTAATTACATATCTATTTAATACAGTTTATATTTGAAATAATGTAATTTACAAGTTACATTTGTATTTTAAGGGTAAGATTTCGAAACGAGACAGCGCTAAGTCAGACGTTAATCAAAAATAAATTGAGTTTGACATACAGTTTGTTTTGTCTCGTTTTTAAATGTCACTCTAATGGTTACAGCTATAATCTATGGTACTCTGAGATATGTCAAGTCTGTCAGCTGTCATACTGCATAGAATAAAGACTTGTGTAGGTTTGAACTTTGATATAGTTTTATACATACAGAATTAAAGGTTTCATATAATTAATTATTCAAGTTATAACTTTGCCTTTTCTTAAGCTCTAAACAAATAAGACTTCAGAAATATTTTTTAGGTTATTAACAAAAATAGAAAATGAATGAAATTAATTTTATATTAGTTTATATTTTAAATAGGTACTCAAAGAGTTGAGTCTTTAATTTTTTGACATTCAAACAATGAATTAGTATTACATAGTACAATTTAGTAAATATATAACATAATTTATGAGCACTGTTATAAGTAATATTTTTTTATTTGGGGATTAAATATTAAAATGAGCTGAGTTTTTATGTTTCAAGACAACTACCAAACGATCCCTAATACGAAGTTTTGGCGAGCGTAACTCGGCCGGAATGGGAGTTTTCCCGCGACTAGCGCAAGGCCGTCTCGTGCGAGACTCGGACCTAGGCTTGGGCCGTCGCACAGTGCGCAATCGCCTGAAGGGCAGGAACGGAAGCTCACTGGAGTGAACGAAGAAAAGGTTCACGCCGGTGAAGGCGGTTTTTTACCCTAATCTGATTTTGACATAAGATTTTGTAGAGCACTTACGCCTTTATACTTCTTAAGTGAATGTGAATTTCCGGCTGCGCACAACAAAGCTGATTAGGATCCAATGAGCCTCTGAATGCTTTCACTGATTATCTGTATCGCTGTATGCTAGGTTTTCAGTGTCTACCAATTTAAAACAATTTTGTATGAAAGGACGCTTTCTCCAGCCTACCAAACCCTCCCGACCAAAAGAAGGATTCTCGACCAGTCTAATCACTACACGGTCCCGCAGCCCGCAGGTCCCGGTGGCTAAGGTCGGAAATCTGTATTTATGCTTAGCGGTCGCAAACGTCATGAATGACGTCATTGTACTATTGTAGGCGTCGATACAATTGTTTCAGCCTGAATCTAATCCAGGGCTTCTTGGGTCTTACGTTAAGTTGATTACAAACTAGTAAGCTGCTAATTTTACAGCGCCTCTAATGGTTACGCACACTACTAATCATTTGTATACAATAAGCCAACACATTAAATTAGGCATCACTTGAATATCACATATATTTTGTAAGTAATGTAAGTGCGTGCTCTCATTTCACAATGCCTAATGCTGACTGACACAGGACAAATCTTTGATTTTAATTTTTAATTATTATTAACTATTAAATGTAAAATTTTATTTATTATATTAATTTTATTATTTTAAAGAAACATTTAATATGTATTTCTTTATTGACGTTCATAAGTGTACATTGTATTAACTAAATAAATGAATTTGATTTGACATAAGAGAGTTGTACCTACTAAGGCTGAATCTTGTGACCCTTAGAACTTCTAGGATTGATTTTTTTACCATCGCCATCGAGGGTAAGTTCTCGTAATACTAGAGAAAGCAAGTTTCACTCATAAGAAACAGTAACGAAACTGCATCTAAGAAATTTTGTCAATAGGTATATAATTACCTATACTACAATCAAACGTTTAAATTCGGAATTGTGAATTTCCTAATCAACTCAATGCTGTTTTGTTAATTTAAAAATAATTATGCTATTCAGTAACATTAACTAATTCTGGTTTTTACTTTTCTTGTGAGTGTTTGAATATATTATTTTAGGCATTATTAAAGAAAAATTATAAATGCACGGAAACGAACAATATTTTTATTCAAATTTTAAGTTTTTAACAATGACATCAAATTCTTGAAATATAATATTAGGAACAGTATTAAATATATTTTCATTTCACGTAATATTTAGGTGATACAAAAGAGAAAGTACATAACCAATATTTTTTTTGATATTGTTTGGTCAAGTTTAGTAAGAAATGTGTGGTAGCAAAGTTTTTGAATTTAGTATACAGTAGGAATTGTTATTTTATTACCATTTTGATATTGGAATTTTAGAAGGTAAGATAAATTAGCTTTAATTTTTCGTTCTTAATTTACTAAGGATCATAGAAAATCTTATTTTATACTACTTTAAAACTTGAAACTTCAAACTACTTATTAATAAATCTTTAGGTAAAATGAGTTGTTGATATTTTAACATGCTCTCATCATAGAATAAAATTTGCACGAATTTTATAACCTGGCAACTTTGCATAACAAAGTTTGTAAAACGATAATAAATAATAATTTAACATTTGTTCCATCTTCAAAATCAATTCATAAGCACAATATGATTGCTGTTACCAGAGCGTGGGCAAATATTATAATCATTATATCGTGTGAAAAAATATCGAATAATAAGTAAGGAAGCATATTGTACAAAATAATACAAAAATTAACCCCAAGAATCTTCTACAATCTTTCTTCGGTTCCTTAATTATTTCCTGATTAATGATTTTGAGTTATTCGCCTTTAAATACTTATAGTACTAATAGTGTCCACTGGTGCCGGTGTAACATTAGCTTGCTGTACGGTCGGGTCCAATAGAGGAATGCTGTCGGTTGTTCTAAAACACAAAACATTTTGTTGATTCAATATAGTAAATACGCGTTTTCCCATAGGCAAGTTGCAAAACATTTTAAAAATTACTTTCTTACATAAACACTGCACATTTTGTTTAGTTGTATATATGTGTAGACACAGTAAATTTCAAATTGGTAAAAGTTCTGTTTGAAAATTTATTTATGTTTTATAACTTGAGGGTATGCAAAAATAATTTTAGTTTTGAGTTTGGAAAAGCCTTTTTGCATTTTTGGTTGCCATATGAAAAAAAATATTACCTTGATCGCACAATAGTAGGTTCAGTAGATACTTCCGTACATGGTGCTGGTGTTTTATTTTGTACAATTGGTAGTGTTGTGCAAATTGTAGCCATTAAGTAGATGTGCTAGAATATAAACAATTAAGTGTAAAGCGCTTTTATTGTATAAATGTATCTAATACAAAATATAATATAAACGTATTTACCATTGACAAAACGAGAATGAGATAAATGGTTGGAGTTGACCAATGCGCAGCATTTTCTATAGCAACAACTCCCATGACCCAATTTATGGCGAAAAATGGTTCAAGAATCAAACAAAGGTTTAAATAGGCTTTTAAATCATCGCCTTCAATATTCCATCCATTTTTCCAAGAGATTTTCGCCGTTGATTTCCACAAATTAATCACGTCCTTGTCTGATATTCTTTTCATCTGAAAATATTAAAAATGGTTTAATATTGGTTAAGCGAATGGGAAAAATATTTGATAATATTTACCTCTCTTCCTTCTTCACTATTGGCATCACTATTGGATGCACCCATTGTGACTGTCGTATATGGATTATCTTCATCGTTCGAATCTCTGTCCAGTGTGTCAGAACTATCAGTATTTTTTCTACTGGGAAGGGGAGTACAAACATTGTTCACCGTTTCGGAACTGCCTGGTTCGTTTTTTGGCCAATTTGCCAAGAGCTGGTCAACCAAATCTTGAATTTTCGCTGATCTTAAATCATTCTGTTTTTGGTTGATACTTTGTAAGCCAACTATGATAATGCCTGTATTGATCAGTATGAGAATCGTTGCCGGTATCATGAAACCTATGACCATACCTTTTTCAATTGACATCCAGCAGTAATGTTTGATTTCATATTGTTCCATTGAAAGCGCATAATTAAACTAAAAATATTATGAATCATTAAAAATTATTAAAAGCAATTTTTGCCTAATGGCTAAAAGCATAGAACTGTCATCCTTGAAGTCTGACCTGAATGGACTTTTCTTTCTATGTGCGCATTGAACACTTGCTCGTGTTGTTAAGGAAAACATTGTGAGAAAAGCGGCATGCTTTGGATCCAAAAAGTCGACGACGAGTGTAAGGCATAGAAGGCTGATCATCTACATGTATATTAGTAAAGAAATACATCACCATATAGAAATCTATAACGGTGAAATATTTAGCGTAATTTTATAATATTTAAATTCTTACCATAACAACTATAGCTGGAACCCCATATGCTAGAAGATAGTTATACTTAAGCGGCAAAAGGTTGTCACATGTACAGAATTCAGCAACTGCAGCACCCAAAGCCACTATCCACACTGCACAAGTAATATGCGTATAATGTAGAAGCAATGCTATTCTCTCACATTGCGAAGGAGATGACGCCCCCTTTAAAATGCCAAATATTGGTTTAAATTTCTCCTAACTCTTAATAATAAAAATAAAAAACTGAGCTTAAAATGAAACATGACTTACCACAGCAGCTTGTATATAAATTAGCGTGCAAGCTGCTAGACAACAGCAAAGATTAATATTGATAGGATATAACTTGCTACTTCTTCTAAATTCTGCGGCACTTTCACTCCACATTAACCACAAAATAGATGATATAGGAAATAGCACGGCTAAACCACTTGTAACATAAATCTAAAAAAAACGTGTTTAAGCAACGGTTAAATATTGTTGTTCTTCTATTCTCTAAAATATTGAAGAGATTGTTTATACGTTACCAAAACCATCCATTCGTCTCGCATTCCGTGACAATTATTAAAACCATACACATATGTAACGCTATCTATTATATTATGTTCTGCCAAGTCTGCATCTGCCAAAGAATCATCCGGGAGGTCCATATCTGGATCTGGTTCTTTCTTTTCTCTAAATATATTCGATATACCTAAAACATTTAAAATAATGAAGAATTTTCTTATTCTTTTTATACTTAGATGATGTTGAAAATACATTAGATATCTTTATTTTTCGTGTGATTAGTAGTGTAATTATTACCTTTAGTGTCCTTCACGATAACGTCAGGATTTGGATATAGCGGAGGATTATCATCGTATATTGAAGATGTAAAGTTAGAAAGCACTACACCGTACTCAGAATCGTAAGTATTTAAATCGTAATCATTACGATCATCAGCTTTATTATATGTAGGTTTCTGTCCTATTACTGGTTGAAAGGACTTGTACGTAGCCAACTTTTGTGGTTTATTAAAAATATCGTACTTGGGTTTACGTAAATTATGATGTCCTGTTTTATTTTCCTGAAATGCTGTAATAATAACATGAATAGTGAAACATATGTTTAATTACAATTTTTAAAAATAAAATTCCTTACCAAGTGCGTTGTTAAAATATGCAAAATAAAAAAAGAAAGTAAGAATAGTTATTTTTGATATAAAGTTCCGCATAATGTTCAGTTGCAACTTATGCACTCGCAATATTGTTCATATTTTAATTTCTATTGCTATATTTATTTTTAAAAATTGTTGTTATTTATATGTTAGTAACTAAACTTTAGTAGATTGTTTTACGAAAAATCAATACTTCTGAGCCGTTTCTTTTTACGTCTATTAAAAATTTTCACTGATAATGGTTTAGTAGTAAACGAGATGAAATAAAACAATTATCAAAATAATTCCTATGAATATAAAATAGTACAAACAGAAGTTTGTTACATAGTATTTTACTACATTGACAAAAAAAGTAATTTAATTATTAAGAATTTATTTATTAGAAATGGCAACACTTTAGCAGATGGTTTTGACAAAAAAGTACTAATTTTATGTCAATTGTCAAAGTAAAAATTAATCACAGTTTCTCAGCAAGCAAACTAACCAGTCTCAAACGCAATAGAAATGTAAGCAAAACTAGACTCAAAATGAGTGCTATCCTAAAGTTCATCCGTGAAAACCACATACTAGCAGTGATAGAACAAGCAATTGCGAAAAAGAAATCTCGCTTGAGTCTAAATTCTTTTGAAATTACCGAAATTCCTACACTGTTATACTCGTGCATCGAGCTGGAACACCTATATTTACATTTAAATAATATTACAACTGTTCCAGTGCAGATTACAGAACTCTTAAACCTTACAACATTGACCCTGGATTACAACGGCATAACTTCATTGCCTGTCGAAATTGGTAACTTGAAAAATCTTGTAAATTTAAACATAAGTTATAATCCCTTAAAAGAACTTATACCAGAAATAGGTGAATTAGAGAACCTTGAAGCATTCTGGTGCAATAAAACAGGGCTACGGGAAATTCCAAAGGAAATCGGCAAGTTGACAAAACTTGATACATTTGGAGCAAGGGGCAATGAGTTAAAAACCATACCAGAAGAAATGACTCAACTAACAAAATTAAGGTATTTTATATGTCTTAACTATTATATCTATTTTATGGAATTTTAAAATATAAGTTTTTATAGAAAACCTAATAGAACTTGATTTCATATTTTACCATTTAAAGTTGTTGAAATTTGTTACAGGTGGCTAACATTAGAAAATAATCAAATAGAGATTTTACCAAACTGTATGAATAACATGGAGGGGATAGTACATTGCAATCTTCGCAAAAATAGGCTAAAGGAATTCCCAGAGTCTTTTCTGAAATGTGTTGATTTGATGTTCTTACAGTTGAATAATAATCAGGTAATCCAATATGTAAAATTTGCTAATCTTATTCAATCATATAGAAATGCTTTTGTCAAACCTATTTGAACTATTTTGATAAATTCCATCTAAATGGTTGATTTATGCCTTAAACTGTATTGAGAATGCCTAAATTGCAAGCAAGGTTCTAAAAGAAGGTCATGGTCATTTTAAAGTTGTACTTAACTGAGGTTGTGCACAAGGTACAAAAACAGTGAAAACATTTTTGACCTTAGTTTTTTAAAATGTACAGTTATATATTTATCCATAAATAAAAATAAATGCAATTATTTGACCATTTGGTGTGGAATTATTTTTGGTATAATATTCAAGTAATCAGGGTATTACAAAATTTGACTAAAATTTCCTATTGATTTGATGTTTAAACCACAAATTTTTTGGTTATTGAAAATAATTAATTTCTACATTAAATGATAACTATTCTGAGCAAATTTTATTTGTGTAAGTTACATGATGATCCATTCACCTTTGAGTTTGTAGATGTAGTAAAAAACTTTGGTTTATAATATGTATTGATACATTGTAGCAAAGTTGCATGAATACTGGTTCTAGTATAATCACTTTACCTTGTGGGTATGGGTTTAAGTAGTGAATAAAAAGTAATGGTTAAAAAATTTCAGATATCCAGTTTACCAGAGAATTTTGACACAAGTCAAGTTACAGTTTTAGAAATGATTGATTTACGAGAAAACCCTATATGTGAATTGTCACATCTAGTAAGTGTCATATTACTTCTACTTAATTCAATAATTTTAGTTAACCCTTATACCAAGATGATTTGGAGAAGTGTCATCCCCTCTGTAGGCGTTGTAAATAGATAAATAATGTTGGCAGATATTTGAAGATGGTATAATTTTTAAAATATTCATTTATATCTCAACATCAATTTCAGGACCACCCTTTAGTTCGCTTCTCAGATGAAATTCCAGTACCTCAAGATCTTTCCCCATCCAGCAGCCGGCCTCATGGCATGGCTGCACAGGCTTTAGCTGTCAATGCTACAGCTCTTCGGTTACCAGCAGTTCCAGCGCCCAGACATCCGGATTTGATATTAGGTAATTGATCCTCTTCTGGCTTAGTGTTTAATGCACACATACACATACATGTAGTCCTTAGTTACAATAATGTGTTACTTGTCATAAAAAAAGAACAGGCAATGGTGTCTCAATTTTTTTTAACAAGTAAGGATGCTTATAACCTTTATTTACCTTAAATAAATTCAGAAACCGGTTTACCGCAAATTGCACTTCGTGAATTCTTTGTATGTGTTCTTAAATATATAATTTTTGTTTAGTATGCAAGTGTAAATAAATAAATTTTAAACTTTTAGTACGAATTAGAGCTTTAAAGGAACAGTTTATTATTTTTTTATAAACTATACAAAAAGTTTTAAAAAAATCTTTTGTACTTTAAGAAATGGAAATGGACGCTTCATCAGTAGAATCAGAAGATTGGGAGAACAGTGTAAATAGCTCTGAGTTGGACGTCCATTACCAGAGTGACGATGAAAGAGGTGACAATGAGGTATTTCCCATTTATTTACAGTATAAATGAACGTTAAAACAGGAACATTTTTTCATTTTTTCCTTTTGTAAAACGTTACGATGCGGGGCGGGGATTGAATTACGCGTTATTGGTAATATTATTTTCTACTTACACCACATAATAATAACTAAAGAGTCACTAGGTGGTCATGAAACGTTTTACTAGACTTGGGTACAGTACTGTATAAAAATAAAAAAGCATGTTAAAACGTTGAACGGTGTTGTTAACACGCTGACATTAGATCGCACAATTTTTTCAGGCTGTGGGTATGGTGTTGCCAGAATTGTCCCGGTACGCGTCAACAGCGAGTTGAATACAACTGGCAAAAAATAATTTAAGATATTATGGTCCGTTGTATTTTCACGAAATTTGAATAATTTTGGCTTAAACTTGTTTACAGAAATTATTATCAAAATGTTTGTTATGGTTTCCATTTAAGAACTAATGAACAGTTTTTCTTTTTGAAAGTAATTTTTAATATATCCTAACCTAACACACTATCATGTATTAAATTCAGATTAAAACGTGTTTAATTACTACAATTTCGAAGCTTTGGTTTAGAACTTAAGTTAAAACGTGTCGTAGACGTGCTGTAAAGCACCCGAAATATCGGGATTATAAAGCATAGTTTTAAAATAAATATTTGTATTGTGGTAATTATACGCGGTTAATCGAGAAAAAGTAAAATATAGCCGTCTCAATCTATAGCAGGTTCAACGAAAGAGTCGTCTATATTTTAAAATAATTGTTATAAGCGGTTTAAAAGACATACTTTAGAACAGTTGTATTTTTATATGAGTTTGGTTCTGTCTAATTTCGTGAAAATAAGATATTTTATATTTGTTTGGGACTTTATATAACTTTGTATACAATGTAATCATAATTCATATCGGATTAGTACATTTTGTGATGTAGTTCGCCAAATATACTGAGTGTATATAGGTTTATATTCTTACGTTCGAATAGAAGGGATTTCATAATCATAGCCTATACATTGCCTCGAAAGTTTGGTAAATTAATATATTGAGGACTTTGGTTATGCATTTTGTTAATGATTTGAACGTCAACTTATTTCGGCCAATCGCAACCCTTGAAAATTAAAATGCTTTGCGATTGGCCCAAACCGCGTAATCGCCCAATGGCACAGCGTAATAAATATTTGGTTATAAAATAAAAATCAATGTTTTTTAGTTTCGATTCATATTTCTGTATCAGCTGATATTTTTGTGTCACATGACTCATAAGCTTGATTGAGAGACGAATATAAACCTTGTGCCAACTTATAATGAAGTACATTTATTTTACCCGTTTTTAATAGTCTGATAAAGATCATTTTTACCAAAAAATATCAAAAACATACAATGTTGCCAAGTTTTCGGCGAATTTATTTATGAACTTTTTTATTTACTTGTATAAATAACATATCGGAAATTGAAATCAAATAATCGCACAATTATTCCGACAGTATATCTTGATACTTATTGTATATTATTTACATAGATAATATGGGTTATTAAATATCTATAATAATTGTAAATATTATTATTTTTTATTAATAAAGGTCTTGATGTTCTAATATTTTTATTCATACTGAAATGTATATTTGTCTAACTGAAGCATTGTTTTCATTTGATGTTTGTTCTAAGGATTCTAGAGCACAAATTAAGATTATGGCCTGGCCTCGAATCTTCATATAATGTCATGACTTCGTCAAGTTTTTGTATGATTTTGATAACCATTCGATTCTACGTATTCTTCCTGTGTCCACAGATACATAGGCCTATTCGTTTTACGTAAGTAAATGTTCTGTTCATTTAAGTTATTAGAAGGCAAAAAGTGAATTGTGAGAAACTAAGTGAAGACTATAATTGTTATAAGACTTTTCTATTAGCGTTTAGCGTGTCTTCGTTCTCATGTAATGATGTGCGTTTTCCAATTACAGAGCATAATGCGACTCAGTGCGAACAATGCCGAATTATGCTGAAGCTTAATTGGAACGTGAATTAGTTTTCAAATGCATCAGCAGAGGGCGCTAAGTCAGTGTTGAAAAAAAAAATGTTCAGAATAGAGTTAGCAACCTCATTAATGTATAAATAATGTGGTAAACAATAATAATTGGTTGAAAACTATTTACGCTTATTTTAAGTAATTTGGATTTTGATTATTTCATTAACATTTTTTTACTGAAATAAGAGAAAACCTTTAAAGAATATAAGGTTTTAACAAGCTAAATTAACAGTAAAATATTTAGTTTCATGTAAGAAGTTTACATCATTTACGTTTTGAGTAATTTTTTTAAATGATTTCTAAAAAAATTATATACTTTTTCAAAACCATTGCAATGTTTACAATAGTATAATACTGTAAAATTAATTTTTTTTTTTTTTTTTTTTTTTTTAATATCTTTATTCAAGTAGGTAACCAAGTACACTTTTGAATCGTCAAGGGTTAAATTAATCGTAAATTTACATTTACTACCAGTTCGCAAGTCAAGGGCGTAGAGCGGGTAAGAAGAACTGGCAAGAAACTTTCCGCCACTCTTTTTAATCGCCAGAGTATTGTCATACAAATTGTTTGAACTGGAGCAATTCAATCCCAAGGAGTTAGGATCATTTAAGTAGTCCTCAAATTTATAAAAAGCTTTGTTGATTAATTTTTCGTTTAACGAGGGCTTTGAATTTATTTAGTGATAATTCTCTAATTTCGCTTGGGAGCTTGTTGTAAAAACGAATACAATTTTCCATATAAGGGAGTGGTTTTATCTTTTTGGAGCCTGGTTGGTCGTACACTCAAATTAGTTCTATTTCGCGTATTATACTGGTGAAAGTCACCATTTGTTTTAAAATCGTTTATATTTTTTTGGACATACAACAAGGCTTCAAGAATATATTGACCAGATAGTGTCATAATATTTAATTCCTTAAACTTATTCCGTACCGACTTCCCTCGGAGAAACACAACAAATACCCCGAACAGCCCGCTTCTGCAGCACAAATATGGATTGAACCTCTGCAGCAGCACCCACAGTAAAATGCCGTACGACATAACGCTATGAAAGTAGCTATGGTACACAATTTTAGCCGTGTCCTCATCAGTAAACTGTCGGATTTTTCTTTACTGCATATGCTGCAGAGCTCAGCCTATTCGAAAGAGTCTCTATGTGTGGGCCCCATTGGAGTTTACTATCTATTGTTATGCCTAGAAAAACAGTTTTGTCAACAAAGTTTAGTTCACTGTCCTTAATTTTCAGGTTACCAATATCTCGCTTTACGCTAGTAGTTGTAAATCTAATACATTTTGTTTTATTCTCATTAAGCAATAAGTTATTTACATTAAACCAGTTAACTATACGAGAGATAGAATTGTTTACATCGTCCAATAATACGTTATTCCTATTCACTTTAAATAGAAGTGAAGTGTCATCACCAAACAATACCATCTCATGAACTTCTCGTTGACAAAGAATGGGAGGTCATTTATGTAAATCAGAAATAAGAAAGGCCCGAGAATCGATCCTTGGGGGACGCCCATTGATACCTGCGAACCCGGAGAGGTGACTCCATTGACATGAACTCTTTGGGATCCTTCCCTTTAAATATGAATTCATCAGGCTGGAAGCTTTGCCATCAACGCCATAGTGTTGAACTTTGTTTACAGATCCGAATTTTAAAATGAAATTGTATTCATATTTTAAATGTGGAATATAAAAAAAGTAACTATTTATACCTTCATCCATACTTATATTTTTTTTTTAGCAGTTTGAAATAACTTTAATTATTTTCAAAATCTACGACGAAACGAAAGCCTTACAAATTTTTCAACAATAAATAATATTTACTAACGAAAATTTCGATCAATGCCAACTTAAAGAAAAACACCGGTCAATTTTCTGTCACTGTGTTGGTATTGATTGCGAGAAGCACGCGAGAGCATTACTTTTGAGAGTGCTCAATTGTGCGAAGCGTTGCTGTAGTTGGAACATTCAACGTTGAGCATTATGCCGCATAATGCGCTCTAGTGCTGTAATTGGTAAACGCACGATATGTACGTATTTTATTTTGATCCCGTATACTGACACTTTTGTCCCCCGAGTGTTGCGTGAACATGCTCATGGCGCTGTTGCTTGGTTTGCGCCGACTTATGCATACGAGTATATGCGCGATTTTTGAGGTAACCGTACAGGCAGGACCATTTCCTTAGTTATTCTTAAACGGTACATAGGGAATCGCTATCTTTAAATAGAGAACATACTATACTTGTTCTTAGTCATAATTTTATATGAAAATAAAAGTACATAGTCTTGCTAAAATTGATAGCATTTTAGAACCTTGCCGATAGCAGGCTCGCACGCTCAGTAATACAATGGCATAATTCGAAAAAGAAATTTTTGGGAAATCGCTTTTAAAATATTTAATTTTTTACATCGGCTTTTTTTTAAATTAAATGCTTTTTATGAAAGTCATGATTATCAAACTTTACAAATGATAATTACACTATAGGAAGCGTTGAAAATTTAATTTAAATGACGATCGATTAAAAAAAGTTATTTACTAATTAAGTAGTGACTGCCGTTTTTGGCAATATAGAGAAAAAAAATAAATAAAATATGTTTATTATGGAACATAAGATACATGTATCACTTATTCCACGTCATTAAATTTGAAGGCATCCCTACTCATCGGCAAAGAAGACAGAGGGTGTAGGCCGAGAGAAAAACCCGGCGTAAAAAACTCTCGGTACTCTTTTAAAACAGCAAATCATCAAACAACACTTATTTAAAACAAATATCGCAAATTGATTAGAAGTAGCCTGTCTAGCACTAGTCCCAGGCCCTTTTATCAACTAGATAATCGTTGACTTTATAGTAAGCCTTTTTACACAGCTTTTCTTTAATACATTTCTTAAATTTATTGAAAGGCAGTGATAAAAGAGCCTCTGGGATTTTATTAAAGAAGAGTATCCCTTTCCCCAAAAAAAGAATTACTAACTTTAGATAGTCTAGTGCGGGGAAATTGCAGCCTGCGTTTGTTCCGTGTATTAACATTGTGCGTATGTTCTATTCTAGTAAACTTATCACTATTTTTGTATACATACATAATATTTTCATAAATATATTGCGAGGGAAAGGTAAGTATATTAATTTCCTTGAATTTATCTCTAAGAGATTCCCTACATTTTAAATTATAGATTGCACGAATAGCCCTCTTCTGCAGGATGAAAATAGTTTCGACATCAGCAGCATGACCCCATAATAATAAGCCATAAGTCATTAAGCTATGAAAGTAACTAAAATAAACAAGTCTAGCTGTATCGACATCAGTTAGTGAGCGAATTTTTTTAACCGCGTAGGCTGCAGAACTAAGTCTCTTCGCCAATCCGTTAATATGAGGGGACCACTGAAGTTTTGAATCCATGGTGATTCCGAGAGAATACAGTTGTATCATCCAGATTCAATTCCTCACCGTTTATAATTGGTCTAGTATCCATAACCCTTGCATTTTTTGCACAAAATTTAATGCATTTTGTCTTTTTTTGCATTAAGTAGAAGGTTATTCATACTAAACCAATGGACAATCGAAGACAGAGCATTGTTCACATCGTCAAAATTTGTTATTTGTCGTTTGATTTTAAAAATCAAGGACGTGTCATCAGCAAACAAAACTATCTGATGTTTTCTCTCTACCATGAAAGGTAGATCATTTATATAAACAAGAAAGAGGAAAGGGCCAAGAATTGAGCCCTGTGGTACCCCCTTATCTACTGCCGACCCAGAGGACCTCTTACCATTCACTTCAACCTTCTGAGTTCTTCCGTGTAAATAGGAAGTCAGAAGATTCAGTGCGGTATTCTTGATGCCATAGTGGCGGAGTTTCCCGATTAAGGTCTCGTGTTGGACACAATCAAATGCTTTGGATAAGTCGCAGAAAACACCTAAAGCGTCATGCGACTCCTCCCAAGCCTTAACTATATATCTATATAACTCAACACCGGCATCGGCTGTCGAGCGACCCTTGGTAAAACCGAACTGATTATTATGTAATAATTTGTTTACGTTAAAATGACTTACCAGTTGATTTAATATAATTTTTTCAAATATTTTACTACAAGTAGGTAGTACGGAAATTGGTCTAAAGTTACTGGGGTCGGACATACTACCTGCTTTAAATAAAGGAATAACTTTACTATGTTTCATTAGATCCGGAAACTCGCCACTTTTAATACAATTGTTGAAAATTATAGCTAGATGGGGAGCAATTACATCAATTATGCTACTAATTATTTTTACAGAAATACCCCAAAGATCGGTAGTGTTCTTAATATCTATGGTTCTAAATATCCTCACTATATCGTCGGCACCAATGGGTCGGAATGAAAAACTGACCTTGCACTCGTTTACATTATCTTTGAGCAGCGATTCGGCGAGGGCGGGAGATGATTGAAGAGACTTAGTAGTCGAAATTGGAATGTCAGAAAAGTACTTATCAAAAACAATCGCTATCTCTTCGTTAGATTTGATTATAGTGTTATCGACACATAGTTCGATGTCTTGATTGCGATCCCTGACTCTTCCAGTTTCACTATCAATTATCTTCCAAGTCATTTTAGTTTTATTGGTACTATTTTTAATCTTGTTTTTGATATTTAAGGACTTGGCCGCGTAACAAACTTTCTTAAATAATTTCGAATAATTTCGAACATAAAGAATAAATTCTTCATTATGATTGTATGACTTTTCAGCGTAAAGGTCATACAACCGTTGTCTACTTTTATAAATTCCCGCTGTCGCCCAATCACTAAACGATTTACACTGCGAATGAGAGACTTTCTTTGGGGTAAAGATGGTGTTGAACTCTTTATTAATACAATCACTTAGATTGTTGTATTGTGTATCAACGGTAGTACCTACCGGTAATAAAGTAGGCGTTTACCTATATTATGTCTAAATCTCACCATTCGCTTTTTATTCACTGGAACAAACACACTGCTCTTATTTACTTGTTTCACCACTTTACATTTTAGCGCCACTAACTGTCCACAATGATCTGAGCTAAGATCAGTTGTAATTGAGGTTTGCATTGCCTCTGCATCTGTAAATACATTATCTATACATGTAGCAGTGGAGCTTGTAATTCTAATGGGCTCAAGAAAGAAGTTAACAAGATTGAAATTTTAATAACAGATTGAATTTTTTACTAATGGAGGTATTTTCTAATAAATTTATATTGAAGTCACCACATACAATAATATACTTATTGTTCTTAAAACTAACTTTACACAAAATTTCCCCAACTTTTCTTCAAAAAAACGTAAGATGCACTTGGTGGTCTGTAAACACTTAAATACATACATACATCATACTACTGAGATACATATAAGACCTACAAATTAACTACATATTGCATATAATATGTGTTGTTAAAGTAAAAATACTTTGTATACAATATGACCTTAGTAGATAACGGTTGGTATTTATTTTATAAATGCTGCCAACTGCAGTTGCAGTTGTCTCAACCTGTTTTCATGGAGACAAAGTTAGGGAGTCAAAAATAAAACCATCAATTTCACTTATACCGAGTGTATTTCTGGATAAATTGGTTACAAAATACTTATTCAACGCCCGCTGGGTCCGAGCCATAAGCAATCAGCCAGTTATCTCAAAATCAAAACTAGGCAATTGTATAAAAATCGTAACTTTTTACAATCTAAATAGTATAAAAGCCGACCGGCGCCTAAACTGTTATGAATAAAAAAACACTGTATTTAATTTAGTTTGAGCTTAACTTACTCTTTAGTTTATAGGAAAAATATAATTAGTATAATTTAAATTATGACTTATGACGATCCCTTATTAGCTAATTCACAGTCGGCTATCTTAATATAGCAATTAACTATACAACGTCGCCGACTAAAGACCGCACTTTTCTATTGAAGCGTAAGGGAAAAAAAGAAGAGAACCCATGCGTATCACTGTAAACGCGCCAAACACACCATCTGACAATTTGAATTTGAATTCTTGGTATCAGTAAAGACCACCAAACCACCTCGTCTTACGTTCTTTTTTCAAAAATGATATTTGCAAAACGCAGTAGAGAAATGGCACAGCCCCTATTTTTTTTTAATTCTAGGTCAGTCATGTCAAGTCAAATTCGATTTTCGAATACCACAGATTATGTACAGATGGAGCATCAAGCGTCATTTCACGTCGGTCGTAGCGTAGAGGTTAAATAAATGCTGATTAATTAATTATTAATTTATTGACGGTCCGTGGCGCGGAGTTTCTCCTCGACAGCCTCTTGAGACGACTCCGAGAGGTCAGTTGCTTGGATGTACTTTTGAACGCCGACGAGCGATTTCTTCAATGCATCAAAGGAGCTGTGAAGAAATACGTCTTTACTCAAATAATATGTTTAACAAGTAATTTTAGTGGATTATTTAATAACGCTACAACTACTATAATGATCTACAGAAACATCTATAACAACTGCTTTACAAGAAAACAAAGTCCCGTAGGCAGGGCTAATTTATTGTTCATGAAATAGTTAAAATATTCACCTAGAGTACAACATCTTCTTCTTGACCTTAGCGGTGTCTGGGCACCATGACATGAGGAACAGTTTCTGTTTCTTGCTAGCCTCTGACGTGCCTTGACACTGGTGGGTGTATTCGAAGTCAAACAGGCCATATCTGAAAAGTAGAAAACGTTATCAATATATATATAAAAATTAATTGCTGTTCGTTAGTCTCGCTAAAACTTGAAAACGGCTGGACAGATTTGGCTAATTTTGGTCTTGAATTATTTGTGGAAGTTCAGAGAAGGTTTAAACAGTAGAAAATATAAATAATAAGTAAAGAAAAATACTACAACATATACAATAAAATCTGTTCCTATGTCTATTAAGAGATAAAGACGTGTCACTTGGTTGTCATATAGGTGCCTTCATGGCTGTAGTTTGAGGTTGTCTTTGGTCTGTTTTGAAAATGTTGTATTACGTTTTGACACAAATATATGTAGGTGATACGAAGTTCACGTATAACTACGTATACGTTATAAATATATAACAAGATGAACTCGTGAATAAGTGTTTTTGTAGATACATCAGTTTTCTAGATAGAAAAAGCAATTATAAGTATACATATATATAGGTTAATAATATTACAGTTCTAACGAGGGTACCACTTTCTAGAAGGGCTTCCATTTGTGTCTGTGAGCTTAAAAGTTGATTAACAAACCTGCACTCTCCGGTGCCACCCTTCTGTAGGTCCTCTAGGAATTGGTCGTACTCGGCGTTTCTTTCTCCAACGGTTTCCACATCGATCTGCTTCTCATCACGAATGTAGAACACGACGTACCGGTGCTTCTTGTCTTTTTTGATCTCTTCGTACGTCGTCTTGCACGCGTCCGAGACTGTTACACCAGACGCCTGGAAGTGACATAAATTTAATTATTATACAGAATATAATATTATAAAGAAAATAAAGACACTGAACAGTTTTTTTTAAAGTTTTTTAATGACATTACAGACTAAACATATCACAATAAAACACACAATGAAAAATCCTAGATAATTAATTATCTTAGTACATTTTACGCAATACTTGGAGACCTAGTAAATCACATCTAAATGTGACATAATGTAACAGCTGCCGGCCCATTTCACGTTTATATTTAGTCACTAAGTGGGATTACGTATTTTGTAGATTTCCTAAGATAATCTCATGTCAAACACAAGTCAATGAAATCATGTTTTGTTTGGTTACACCTAAATACTTATCTACTGTCAACATTATTTTAGTTTTACTGTATTATTATAAGAGAAGTGAAATCGTTTATTATTTTTTATTGTTCTGTAATCTTATCTTTACTTTAGACAATAAAATATATATAAACGTAGCGATTCTTTTGTCTCACAACCAGAAGTAACATGCTTACAAAATTATTTATAGATAAGATTAGAATTAATTTGGCGCAACATCGCGGCGATTAATATCAATTAGTATGACAAAGGTTAATTTCCCATGACATTTAGCTTTGAACTTTCACATTTCACGATTACGTGAATTTTTATCTCAGGGCAAATGTCACGTATGAATAGGGCTGCCAACTTTTTGTACAATAACAAAGTAAGGATCAGAATATTGAACAGTATTTTATTTATTTTACGTTTTTTATTAATTAACCTATAGGGTAATATTTTGATGAAAAAGTTAAACCAAACTCGTGAAAATAGGACTAATTAGTATCATATTTGTCATTTTATAGTTCCATTTTTAATTATTTAAAAGAAACCCAAAAAACACCAGATTTGCAGGTTACTATATCCTCTAAAAAAATATTTAGATTACCACACGTACATTTTAACACGTAAAAGTTTGCTTATAGTATTAAAATTGTAAGCTTTACTTGCATTAACTCCAAAAAATAACACAATGTATAGTTTAACATTACAATTTCAAAAGAAAGTAAAGTTAAAATCCCAAATGAAATAACATTTTTTTTAATTGGAATGGACTGGCCATTTTGGCTCGAGGCATTCCTAAAAAATCTCATTCACTATCCGAACAAAAGCTATACAAAGATTATCTAAAATTGTAAGGCATAGCATACCACTGCGTCGCGTGGAAAAATAGATTCGAGACATTGGCCGTTCGTCTAAATATAGTTTGTGCCTGCGCACGTGTTCGAAAAGTATTGCAGCAAACCCTTACTCCACTCCACAATTCTTAATATTTATTAGTAGTGGTAGTGGTAAGTCAACTAAGTCGGACTTTAGATTTTTGTTATCATAAAAGTTTTATTTTACTTAGTTTTTAATTATTTGCTTTCAGATTATTAAATACACATTTACATTCATAATCTAATCAATAACAATTTTACTTTACAACGAACATATATCCAATACATTTTTAAATTCGTAACATAATTTACGTAGAATCTCCGACATTAGTAAATTTAAAAATACTCTTAGAAATTCTTGATTTCAAGTAGGTCATGAAATATTTATTTAATCAGTCCAGAAATTTTTAGCTTGATTATTATAAATTATTAAAAATAAAAACAAAAATTCAAAATGCAAAACATTCTTCTATAATATTAGAGAAGATATTTATTTGTAGAACTTCATAGATCTTCCCTATACACAACATTTGACGTGGTTTTGTTTTGTGGCTGCAAAATAATTTCGTGTGAAAACATTAAAACGTACATACAAAAACACAAATGTTTCCTCTTACAATATTAGCATAAATTGGAGTAAACAAAAAATTCGACAACGCTCATATCTGTTTGCGTCCTCTCACACCACCAATTTACGTGTATAATAGATTTAAAAAAATATTATTTCAAGTTAATAGTCCGTTAATGAATACGTATCATGGTCTATACTAAAATTTAACTCACTGACCATAGTGAATAGTTTCTCCTAGCTATAGTCAATCTTATTGTCATCATCGTAAAAACCTAAAGGTATTTCAAGTGCAACGCCAATATCCTATAATAACAAGAAAATTGAAAGTGTTACGATATCTCGTGATAAACATCGTTAACGATAACGTAATAATTATTATTCTTTCTCATGTACAGCGATTGTAATACTTTTTAAAATCGATCACAGTCGCGATGTTATATAAACATTCTTATAAAACATACTGTACGATATACTTTAGAAGCTTACCATAATAATTTTTTATGCCACTAGTCACTCACACAAACAGAAGAAATACTACTGACAGGATGTTTAGGATAGATTGAAAATTGTTTTTGAGTTTAGTGTCTTGTGTTGGTATATAACGCAAATTTCTCTGCATTTCAATTAAAGTAGATTATCAGACCTTAATACACGGGTGCGAAACCCAAGAGGATATCGCCGTGTACATTAAATACTAAGGTAAGGTATCAGCAGAAATGGTGACACCATATGCTGTTCATGTATTAATAGGGGTCCATCTAAGGGTCACCTTGCACCAGTACCGAATTTTAGATATCTTTTAGTTTTTATCTATGTTCCCGGAAACGTGGAGTTACTATAGTATATCACCACCAATATTGTTTTCGTATGAATTAATTAAAATCCAGTAACATTTGCAAAGGTGTCTTGTTATGTACATAACTAAGTCTAAAGTGAGATTTAAAGTGAACCAAATTACAATTGGACTGTTAAATTTTAGTGATCTATCATTTAAATGTGTTGAGGGGGAATATTAACATTAGCTAGAAAATTAGTCCCATTTTTTGAATACATAATTCTAGATGCAATATTTTTTTATGTTACAAATGCAAAACGTGTTCAATTCCTTATAGATTATTATATAGATTATTTTAAGTCAACGAAGTTTGGTTAATAATAATTCGGTAAATTTGTCGAATCACGGCTCCACTTTAAAACAGCTACCAATTTGTATTTCACTTGGAACTGAGACATGCATGTAATATTATCAGTTTTTTAAAGAGGTCCAAAGCCATGCGCCTCCTTAATATTACTTGGGGTTCGACATACAAGTCGTAAAGAACGATAGAAAAATTGTTAGGTTATATTCAAAAATGTGTACCTTCTTTCATTCATTTATTTATGTTATTTTTATTTATTTATCTTGCCAACCCTCGGCACACTGATACATTGATAAACGAAAAATAAAATACAATTTTTAATGTGTCAAGCACTTACAGGCAAACATAGCATATAAGAAATAATAAAATTAATTAAGCAAAACAATAATATAATTTAAATAAACATTAAACAAAAATCGCTCTTAAAGTGTGAGGTGAGCAACTATGGATATCCAGATCCAGCTCATTTAACAGAATGCTCAATCTGGACATCGGTGAATTCATTTCACATTATTTTGAGTTCATTTCACAAATCATATTTTAATTAATTTCTATGGGGTTAAAGAGCATGCGCCACCACATTATTGAATGGTAGTGATGAAAATATGTAAAAAAATGTAAAAAAAATTGGAGCTGTTTTAAGGTGAAGCCGTGATGCGACAAATTTACCAATAATTCATATAACCTTGTTATTATTATAAGCTATGATTTCACGCTATCAATTTTCAATGATGTCGATTTTAATGTGACTCATAATTACTTCCGTTTGAAGGAAGGTGATGACTGAAATGATGTTTTGAATTAGGTGAATCATCACAGTTTTATGAGAAAAACCTTCCGTTAAACAAAACGTTAAAAAAAAGACACGTATATATTACCTATATATAGTCATAATTCAAATTATCGTTAGTCGTTATTCATGTTTATATTTATGTTAATTCCGTGGCGCTACACTCTGTTTGGTTCTTGGCCTCTAACGTCTGTATGTATTTCTATATGTATAGGCAAATAGGTGGTCAGCCTTTTTAGCCTAACATAGGTCATTCAATGGATGTTGGAAATTAATATATACGAGTTTTGTTTCTTCACTTTATAATTATAATTAAAAATTCCCGACTATATTTTCAAAATTGTATATTCTATTTTCAGTTGCTGTAATAATCAATACGAACACGTTTCGAGAAAACGTCGCAATGCGTCTAGATCGCTACACGGTCAGAATAAATTTAATTCCCTAAGCTACCACCACTTGCATTATGAAAAACACCCCAGGTTGCTGGACTTTTATCTTTGACCTTTGTGTTATTGATGATTAACGTACAACAGACCTAATGTGACCCTACTGATGCACTTGAACCTCTGAAAAAAATCATCAGGAGTTGCTCTAGGCCTCAGATACGACAAGAGTATTCGTGACGCGCAATTATCTTCTTAGTCTCCTATGTTGTTGCCCTAACAATAAAATTTCATTGCACTCATTGTTTGAGAGAATTAATCATTTGGTCCTTACATACTTCAGAGGCAATAAAGGGCGAAAGAGATAATAATATAAACTAAAAGAGATAATACTATAAACTAGAGCGTTAATTTTCCCTCTAACCGGGAATCAAGTGAGCGGGGCACTTGTACTGTAGCAAATTATACATATTATATTTATATACTAAACTTACTCTTTACTGATTACTGTTTATAATATAAATATATATATAATTTGCTACAGTACAGTAAGGGTGTCAATACAAATTATGTATTTGTATAAGGGTGTTAATATAATTGGCCCTATGCTTTTAATATATATTGTCTACTACTAATTTAATTCTAAAATTTTATAAAAAAATATTTTCCTATCTAACTCAAAAATATAGTGGTAATCAGTAGTCATGGTATAAAGTTGTTGTCAATATATCAAAATTTCCTGCAAAAAAAAATCTACAACCTTGAAGCTGAGTGCTATAATAATCGCAGACTAACAAAAGAGGTTATAAATATGGATGAAATGTAATATATTAATTTTAAGATAGTAATTAAAAAAACTAAGTAGTAATATAAAATAAAAGCTAATAAAGTTCATTGAACTTCATTTGAAAGCAAGTTCAATAACCTTATGTAATTTTAATTAAACAAAAATCAGCACTTGTTTATAAATAGTAATGTGACCTTAACCATAGATAGAATCTATTTTAGGAAATTGCACTTTTACCACATAACCAATAAGATACATTTACAATGAAAAGCGTTATAGTACTAATAAAATGCATTCATTAATTAGTGTTTTACGAGTGCATTAAAAATATATAAATGGTTTGAATGTAAAATTGTACCTTTTTTTCAACAAGGTTAGACTAGACCATGCTGTTTTTATAATTTATGTATGTAAGACAGAGATTTCCGTGTGAATTATTAAGTTGAGTTAATTATAATTAGAAAGGAGCAAACAAAAGCACATTTGATCATAGCCTAGTATTCACATACAGTGAAATAGTTTCTTATAGACAATTATTGAATGTTTTTTATATTAATGGCCTATGTACAATAGCACTTGGTAGTATAAGAGTTATGAATGTAGAAAATATATTATATGATAAATGTAAAACCTAATCAATATATTTCATTTCATAAATAATTTGACATCATTAAGAATCTTAATTCAAGATAGTTAAAATTTAAATAAAGGATGCATAAGAGCCTCTACTGTTACCATAGTTAACAGGATTGTGTTAATTTTACCTTTAATTGTAGTCTGCAATGGGATTTTTATAGCTTATTTGTGTTAAGGTGTAGCCTAATTATAATTGCTGCAGGTATATCTTTCCTGGCCAGCTTACCATGCCACATAAACTAAATTTTATGTACTTTGTTTGTCAGCTTCATTGCCAATACTAGCAGATTGAGGTGTTTTTTGAGTAAAATTAGCTAATTGAGGAATAGCTATCTAAATGAAAATAGTAGCTTACTCATACACAACTTTACATCCTTCAAATAATGTTTATACACAATGACATTTAGCAATTGATTTTCAGACAGATAAAAACGTCGTAAGAGAAAGTCAACCAAAAAGTGTTTAAATGATTCATTATGACTCATGGGCCATTAACACAAGGAAATCGTTGTAATTGCGTACTTATAGGATTTATTGATAACGCAACCTTGACATTGTTGTGCACATTATCCGCGACTAGTCAAAGGAACGCCCTACGATTTTATGATTACAGTGACAGGCTACCGTTTACCGACCTCCGACCATATATGGCTAAACGTTATAGCGTCTGCGCGGCATTGCGGTCTCCCCGAGTTCGATGCCCTCACCAAAACTTTATGATAAATACGCCAATCGGACAATCCGTTGTCAATGCACCCGTTAAGGTAACCTTTCGTGAAATCCTACACCAACTTAAATTACATTCTTGAAAGGAACTGTAATGAATAGGTAACATGGCTGGAACAGATAAGGATCACGACACGTGGCATAAAATCACTGAACGGTGACAACTATTTCTCCGAAAAGGCGTGCGAACTCTGTGCAGGGGGTTGTGCAAAATATGGCCGATCGTGGCACCGGTTCACATATCCTTAAGTTTTACGTGAATTTGCACGATTTAAAAATCTTTCACTGTGTCCATAATAACAAACACATCGTAACTTTTAAGACACTGTAATTAATGATCATTACTTACCATTTTTTGATGTTAAACACGTAAAAATTCCACCACTAACTTCACCGACTTTACGACAACGGCGACCGGAACGACACTGAATCGGAATGTTGGCTATACGTTATTGCTTGATGGCCAATGAGCGCATGTGTCAAAAATATGAAATCAGTCGAATCACTTGCTTTTATAATTATTTTTCCGTTATAGACTTTAAAAATATAATTAAAGATGAAAAATGTATTACAAATAAACAATTAGAAATTAAAGCGTATTTGAATAACTATATAAAGTTTTTTAAATAAAATAAGTCTTTACTTAGAAATGTCACTCAAGGCGACAACTTTAAAAATATCACTATCTCCGTTGCACACTACGAAGCCACTGTATCTTTTTATTCTTGTTGGAATATTTATGGTATAGCTCTAACGATAAGATAAGACAAAAAAGCGAAGATGATTACAACGCAGAGATACAACTATATTCACGAATATTTACTGATCGAGTACTACTTGAGAAGTGAGTCACTGATGACGACAAGATTTCAACCAATCAGGGGTTAGAATTCAGTAAAATTCCTTATATGGACCGGCGGAAGCCACTGTGTTCCCGTCGATTTGTATTTGATTTTTACCGCGGTAATTACGATAATTGAAGCATACAAATTGCAGACAAGACAAAATTTAAAACGGCGTAACGAATGTGATTGTCATAATATTATTGCGTTGTGTGGAACTCCTAGGCAATATAGTAACTTTTTAAAAACTTACAATAAATTATCATCGTCCATCGATGTTAAATTACGCATAAAATTCACGACGAATTGTTTTTAATGGATGCATTAGTTATGAGATAATATATTATGAAAAACATCGTGTCAAGCGTATAAATTCGATTTAAACGATGGTCAAAATATTCTCATTGACTACTGATAACTATTTACATATTTCTGTAATAAGGGATCTTCAGTAATAATCGAACCTTGTCTACACAATGATGTATTTATTGACTTAGTTAAACGTAGACTAATTCCTTGTAGTTAACTGTGCCTGCATTAGAAAATGATATCGTATTATCGTGTCTGTCATACTTCTTTCTTTCTAATATAAAATTTGTATAAGTAGATGATTTTCCCTCTTGGCATTGGCATTATTTTTAGTTCCTTGATTCGACAATTTGGAGACAAATGTATTAAAAGTTCAATTAATTTAGTAGATATCAAAGTTTTATAAAATTTAGGATATAAAAAAAAACAATGATAATAAATCAATTTAATTCAAGCATTTCCAACATATTTATGGTATCTTTTGTACATAGAGTACATGTTTGTCAATGTCATCTGCCCAATTGCCCCTGCCAAGCCCCGTCTCAGGAACGACATGGCGTAATTTGAATCAGAGACTTGTATTAGAAGAACTATTGAGTTTTCTAAATGTTGCCGTATCATTTTTGGTGGAGGAGATTTTTCTAGACAGAAACAAAAATCGGCTACGGCATACGCTGCGATTCGGGATACGTGGCTCTTTCGTTTCGTTATTGACTGTGTTAATCTGTAAATAAAAAAAAATTATTAAGCAAAATTCAAAGCAGAACGGAATCCCCATATATGGTATATAAGTTTAGGAAATATAAAAAAAATCAACAAGGTGTAAAATTTAAGAAAAAAATTAGGTAAGTAACCCTATTTGGGTCTTGTCCTCGGATTGCATCTGATATATTGATCATATTATTTTATAGACAAGAAGTTGATCAGCCTTCTGTGCCTATGTAGTATTGGATTGTATAATCTGCCTTACACCTTACCAGCATAGGTAAATAAAAACAGTGGCGCTACAACTTTCTTTTAGGTCTGGGCTTCAGATTTCTATATATGTTTAATGGGCATTTGTCAATCTAATAAGCAAGTAGGTGATCAGCCTCCTGTACCGCCTAGGTTAAACTAGAAATCGAACTTACTTCTCAATAGAATGCGCTATTTCAGCTAATTTATGTTCTGTGTTCCTGTCAATGTCAAAATCATTTGTTGAACGCTCACACATACAAAGTACCAGGGCCTTGTAGCATTGCATTAAACATGGCCACCTGTAATACACATTATGAATTAATCATCTCACTTTATTTGTCTATGGTTTTACAACGGTTAATACGGAGGCTAAGTTTTCGATTACCAAATAATGACTAAATATGTTCTGTGAATTTAGGTCGGCTTTCGTAGATTGTCAGAGTACTGCATGTTGAATGTGTTGCTGAGATGGTTTTAAATCTCGTAAAAAAAGTAGGAGAATCAAGTATTTTCTGCCAAATTATTAATTGGCAGTAGAATATCTCGCTATGGATTCTTAATGCGATCAGCTAAGCTGTCCAGCATTGCAATGCAAGAAGAAAATTTTAAATTTGTTACAAAAACCACTCACGTTTAATATAAAAAACTAAACTAAACTTAAATTACTACTTTATTTGCTATGGTGCTGCCACATGTAACAAAAAAATAAGGTTACAAAAATCTCACCTATCTTCCAAAAGTTCATCTCTAGACAATATCATGCTATTTAAGATGGCAACACTGCCTTCAAAGAGCATGAAAAATGACCGCCAACTAATTTCACATCTTGTGTCTATGGAATTACGTCCAAGGAGGTAAAATATCAGCTGTTGTAGTTCAAAGATGGCGTCAATGAATTTGTACTCAAGGTTTATCTGTGGAAATGTAAGTTATCAAATTCAGCACCGAGTTTAGTTAATAATACCATGTAATATTTTTTTTAACTGTGTGAGTCAAATATTAAAATATTTATGCGCAACATTTAGTTTTCGAGTTAGTTAAGTTTTAAGATAGATGTGATTTATATGAATTTTAGGAATATTAATTATTATTATTTTATTGGCTATGAACATTTTTCACAAATAATAATTTCTATAAAGTTATTACTGTCTTAAGTAACCATCATTATAACCGAATCATCGTATATGAATATTAAATTTACCTTCTTCGCAGCTAAAATAACTTCGGACAGAACATCTAGATCAAATTTCAACAATTCACAAATTGAATCTTCGATTTTGACAACGTGAACCTCATTGCCAGTATGAACTTCCCCCTCATAGTGTTGCTGTATCCAAAAACGTAAATTTTTTGTCGATCTAAATATTAGTTTACTGAAGGCAACACATTTCGCTTCAGTAATGTACGAATTTAAAATATTTAAACATAGATACTTCAAAACTCGCCGGCTTATTATTTGCGTCGATGTTATTTCCTCATTTTTCAGTAAAATTGTGGGTTTCTGTAACGGTTGTTATAAATTATGTTAAAAAATTACATTAATTGTTTTGTTTGTCATTTAGTTAAACCTGTATCCTTTTCTAAATCTTTTAAATTGTTAATTATTACTATTAACTCAAATAAAATGCATAAATGAATACCCTAATATGCATTGTCTTTTGGCTAATATGCATTGTCTAATTGTATAGATATTATTAGAAAAATATGAATACTTATAATGAAATAATAATAATATATTAGATATAACATTACTTTAAGTATTCGTACATTGTGAAATATACTTTAAAATATAACAATAAAAGCGTTATTTCATATACACGAGAATTTTAAATAATAAATATTGATTATACCATGACCATTTTATAACTCTTTTAGTTTGGTCTAAAGCAAAATTTATATACCAGAACGAATCTGAGTAAAAATAAATTAAATAATATACTTTATTTTAAGTAATAATTTACCAAAACATATTTACCTTCAGAATGGTTAGTGTATTTAGATCGGGTACAAAATGATTAGCAAACACTTCAACAGATGACAACTCCGATAGATACTTCAAAGTGGCAGTTAACTCTTCCAAACAGCTGTCATTTTTCTTCTGTCTATGGTCAAACGCCATAAACAAGCGAGTCTTGACAGCGCGCCATATTTGCAAAAATAGCTTGTCCTTGTCTTTAAAAATGTCATGTAATTCCAACTTTTTGATGTATCGCAAGACGATTGTCAATAAGTTTATAGAGGTGCCGACATGTAGATTTTTTGTTTCCGAACTTTCAACGAAATGTAACTGAAAAAAAATAGTTACTAGCTTAGTCACAAAAACACTATATTCAAAGAAAAGGAATAATAAAATGGAAGTCTGGCTCTTGCCTTATTAAGAAATTAGAAGATAGAATAATAAAGGGATAGATGTGCTTGTTGATTATTTTTTTTGTAAATAAAATAGCTTGAGCGTGCTACCCTTAATCCTAAGGTCATTCAGTTAAATTACTAGGCACCAATACACTTTTCTGCACCGTAAGGAAACCAGCATTAGACCTAAAAGTCGTCGGCGTATGTCAAACTCAAAAGGCTTATCACTACTTCCCTATTAATGAAAAATAAAACATCACGAAAAAGATACAGAAATCTGAGGCGGAAATTTTAGGGGATTTCAAGGGGTTTTCAAAAATTTAAGCGTAACACAACAATACTTACAGCATTTTGTACAAAAAACTCTAAACCGGACCATAAACAATCCATACTTTTTAAATCCTTTCCATCATTGCTTTCACACGACTTTGTCAAAATAAGAGTGTATGCTCCCATAGCGTTTAGTATTGCCATACCATTCTCCGATATAACGCTCGCATCTGCGTTGCTGGTATTTAGTATATCTTTTCCAAAATCGACACTTTTAAACGAATCTAGCATTGCTTGATTTAAATCTTCTTGCAAACCTGTCAATATTGATTTCGGCACACTGGTTGCACTATTTTTTCTTTCTTTAGAAATTAATGGCAACACTATGCATATGATTTGAAATACTTCTTCGCTAAAATCATCGATGCTCCGAATTTCTTTCTTTTTATAATGTTTTAACAATTGTTTTACAAGTGTTTTTATAACTTCTGGATCTTTTTTTACTTGTCTCGTCGCGAATTCCAAAATGTTTTTCACAACCAACACGTGATTTGCAGTTTTAGCGTGCAATTTAAATAATTTTAAAATACCATTATCAAAGTCAAATAGGTAGGGAACGGGAAATATTTTAAAAATATCTGGAGTCTTCGGCGTTAATTCAAAAATGCTTTGTTGTATATTGTCTATGGTGCGTTTAATTTTTTTCGAGTTGCAACCCTTTTTGCAAGTCAAGAGAATGAAGATGGTTGTCAATTGACAATTTTCATCAAGATAATAAATCTGTAAATTCTTCAGTACTTCCAAGTATTTTGTTATTTCATCACTGTCTCCTACAGATAAATTGTCAAAATATTCTTTAACATCTACATCTTTAAGGAATGTCTCAATGTCAAAGTCCTTTCCTAGACCTTTGCTAAGCGAAGACGCATTTTCGAAGTTTTTGGCAACATTTTTCAGTACTTCAAATGTCAAAGCTGTCAATAAATTTTTATTTTTGGCAACACTTTCACAATGAAAAATGGACGCGTCTGAATCAACAGCATATATTTTAACTAGGGACTTCGCTACTTGTTTGTTTTGGTTTTTATCTAAGTTTGCGAAGAGAGCTTCAAAATAATAACTGTCAAATGTTTTACAGCTAACAGAGAGTTGCTTAATTAAATGTGTTTTTGTATCAATTATTATCTCTTTATCATTTGATGTTGTTAGATAAATAGCCATTGTCTTTATGAGCAGTAAATTATTCTGAAATAATACAAATTTTATTTAACATAATAGGATATGATGCTTGCAATGAATATAGTTATTTCATTTATTTTTTTATCAACATCGAAAAATCGGTTCAGTTTATATAAGAAAACTATTCTTAATAAGATAAAATAGCTAGAATTCATTAATACACGATTATAAAAAAATTGGAATAAAGGTAGTTTAAAATTTAAACCAACACAAATTGCATAGGTAGACTATGTTAAGATTAATAGGCCGGCAACGCACTTACGAGCCCTCAGACAATGCGCGGTCTATGTCTCCACAACTGAGCGTTTCTTAAGGCAGTTTTTGCCGCGCACCACCACTATGTGGAACCAGCTGCCACCTGAAGTATTTCCGAACTAATTCGACTTAGTGTTTTTCAAGAAAAGAGCGTACTATTCTTAAAAGACCGCCAACGGACTTGCGAGCCCTCAGACAATGTGAGTGCCCAAGGGCGGCTGTATCACGTAACATCAGATGAGCCTCCTGCCCGTTACATAAAGAGAATAAACTTGCTTTATTTTGAAAGTTGGTTAAATAGTAACTTACGAATAACGGTGCGTTTTCATCGTCAACTTTGCTTGCGATTTGTTCCCATTGTTCCGCATTTAAACATGGCAATATTAAAGTTAAATCAAAAACTTCGCCATCTTGATTTTGTGGGAACTCCAGTTTGACATTACTATATTTCAAGTTTAATATTTTTAACTGCGCCAAGCTTACGCAGATATGTAGAAAAGATTTTAGAAGCAGCGAATTCTGGAAAATAAATTGTTTTATAAGAGTTGAATAAAGTTGTCCATGGTTTCTTATGTATTTCCTGTTAATCTTCTTTTATTAACAACCCGCAACATAAAATTTAATTTAGTAAAAGATATAACGTTAAGACTATAGATATTCTTAATATCATTTTAATAATAACATTTTCACTTACATAATCCAATTTCAATAGGCACTTGCCAAATTTCGTCAGACATTGCATTTCGAAATTGTGGTAACTGGCCCAGTAATCTTCACTTATCGGCAGAGGGACAGTGTGGTCCGCCATCTTGTTGTGCCGCAGAACAGTCGACAAAATGGCCGCCAGCAATTCAGTTAGCGTTAGTACCGATGGACCTATAATATTAAGATAATAGACAATACCAGATTACACAAAATCTAACACTTTATGACATATGGAGCGCCGAGTCCCGACCCTTACAGTCTCAGTGTAACGTGGGGCCTACGCCCCAAAAGGGGGAAATTCGATTGTTAAGGGGGTTATTCCAAAACTAATTAAAATGATTTGGAATTTGAATTTCGGCTTTACAATGTTTTGGAAATTTACTTACTGTGATTCGCTAACATCACCAAAGTGATTTCTTCCTAAAATCTATCATTTAAGTTTCTTAAGTGAATTCAATTTTGTAATATTAAATGTTCCATAGAGGGGCATAGGAATTTTAGAAACACTAAGGTGGTACTTGGCGCAAAGAATGTTGGAAAACACTAGTTACCACTCATTCTATATAATTATTGAATTTATTGTTACATTAATTTTGTATAAACTATATATTTTTTAAAATATAATTTAACAGGAAATTATACCAATAATACCTACAAGCATTTTCTTCAAGTGAACTTAAACAATCCTCTAAGTCTTTTTTCAACAAGAGTAACAAGTCCTTATTTTGCCTAAACATTAATTCCGATGTTAATTTTCCATATAGCTCCAGGCAATTTTCAGGCAATATATCAAAGCAAGTTACAATTTTACTTTTAAACTTATCACTATCAGAATTACTCATTATCGATTCATTTAATTTTTCTTTAAAATTTTCTTGGTCTTCATCAACATTTTCTAAATGTGTCTTTAAATGTGGTAACATGTTATGAACGAAATTAATTCCTTTGCTAAGTTTGAATAATGTTTGCAGTAATATATTCATTGTTTCCACATATGTGTCTTGTAGACTTGAGCTTTTTTTGGCAACCATAATCTGTGGTAAAATCTGGAACATTGTCTTATCTACTAAGGTTGGATCCAATTTTAGTGCTATCTTTATAATATTTAATGTAGCTTTATCTGGCTTTCGTTCCTTTATTGTTGCTAAAATAACATCTTGTAAAAACAGTAGAAATGTTTTCTTTGTTTCCTTGGACTGTTCATTTAATGTGTCTCGTAAATGCACATTTACGTCAACATCATTTTCCAGCAAAACTTCTAACATACTCAAAAATATACTCCGTTTTATTTTTACTTCATTTCCTTCAAACAATATTGGTTTGAATTTTGTTGCTGTTTTAATGTAAGCTTGTTTTACATTTAAACAATTAACTGCTACAATATAAAATGCAAATAATAGCTGACTTTCTGTTTTAAAGCAACACACAAATATTTTAATAAAATCACATAAAAATTGCTGGTTTCCTTTTGAATTAATAAATACATTTATAATTTTCATAACAGATTCAATATTATCATTCTTTGCTTGTAAAAGATGTGTAAGATCATCTTTCCTAATTAAGTTGTTCAGGTATCGAGCATAAAATGTACGTTTGTTTATCGGAAATAGGATGTTTTGACATACATCAACCACTTTTTCTTTACTTTCTGTATTAAGAAAAGAAAATACTGTCTCTAAGTTTTCTTCTTCAATAAACTTGACAATAAATTCAAATTTTTTCTTACAATCTTTATAATACCTTACAATATTGTCTAATAATTTATTAATTAATAGAACACTTGTTGTTTCTGTTGCTAAATGTTGGAGTAGAGTCATGGTAATTGAAAGATAATCATTAATTTGTATTGATAATTGAGCAGATAATTTGCTGTTTTCTATAAAAGCCGTAATAAATTGAATATCATCATCTTGTATAATAGTATTGTGAAGGTACTGTGATACTATCTGAAAAGCAAATTAATAGCAAATCAAAAAACAAAAGGGTTTTAAGGAAGTTTTGTTACAGCATATTGTGTTGGTATATGGCATAATGCAGTGATCAGTATGCATGAACCAAACATAATTTAAAAATATACATTTCTTACCTTGATCAGTTTGTATTTTAGGTCAACAGTAAAATCATCAACATTGTTTAACCAACTTAAGACATCCTTTAAGTCTTTACTTGTAACCTTATTACTCCCAGTTAAAGCTTCTAGCCATTCACCAATCACTCTTTCTTTAGGTGAAGTTGGAAAGTGATGGGAAAATACTACATTTTTGGCGAGTCGAAGTCTTTTAGGTAATGGCGTTGAGTCATCTTCTAGACGCCGTTTTAATTCTGTAAATTATAACATAGCTTATGAATGGCAATGAAAATCTTTACAAAATATGAGATATTTAAATGAAGAATTAGATGAGAACAACATAACACACTTAAAATAAACTATATATGATTAAAAAAATATAGAAATGACAGTGTTCTTTGATTAATATTCATTTTTTGTAGCAGCTAGCATGTCCATAAAGAGGTTAAAATTTAAAAATTACCATTTATCGGATGAGACATTTTAAAGCACCAGTAAACTTCTAAAACATATTCATTTATTAGTTTCACTTAACGCCTAAGGTATATTTATTTTTTAATGTATAAAACTGTAAAAAATACAAGTATGTAAAATTTATGTAGCACATGCAAATGTTTTGTTTTTGCCGAAACATGTGACATAAGCATAACACAACTGACATCTGAATTCTGAACGATGAGAGATGTCAAAGTTACTTTGATAGTTTGGAATAGCAATGTTTACGAGCGTAATAAATACGTGTACTATACTAGCATAAAAGTCTATGGAATAGTGGAAAACGGTAATGTATAATCAATTGACATTTGGCGCCCTTTTAGGTTTTATATAAAATAGAATTTACTTCGTGATTTTATAGAAAACATAATCTTGTAACCCTCTTCATAAAAACTCCACCAATTGCAATTCCTTGGCTGAAGCTGTTAAATGCAAAATAAAATTAATTTATATTTATTTACAATCAGATAAAAAATAGTGCATGCGTACAAAGTACACAATAATATGTCAGCCCTGCGATTCTGTAACTCACTTTTCGAACTCACACAGCGGTTTTCGCATCGGCGGTCGCTCTCAAATCAGTCGTGAAGCAGTCATTTTATGATTTGGCATTCTGAAAAGGTGGGAGCTTGTAGTTTATTGTTTATTAGAATGCCAAATCATAAAATGACTGCTTCACGACTGATTTGAGAGCGACCGCCGATGCGAAAACCGCTGTGTGAGTTCGAAAAGTGAGTTACAGAATTTTAATAAAACAAAATACTAAATAGAGAACAAAATGGTCGACGTTTGAAATAAAATTAATAATATTAAAAAAAGATAAACTGTGAAAATATCTCAAAAATGACTTATCTGATGGAAAATAATTAGCAAGATTAAATAGAAAAATTATTAACCCATCTGGCAAAGGGGCCCTTAAAGGTAAGTTTATTTATTATAATCTTAGTTACGTATTTTGTTTAACATTAAAAGTTTATATTTCGTATTTAGCCGACAACTGACCAGCCGTGGTGTATATGAGCGACAGAAACTTAAAAATATTAATTATGTTTCAGCACGAAACAAAGGGATACCTAACATCTGGATATATTGTACAAAATTTAAGAATATTATCTTAACAAAAAGATTATTATGTCACGCTAAAAGTGATTCTCTCAGCAAATGGTCTAGGAGGATTCAAACTAAACAGGATGGATAGGTATCTTAAATTTTCAAAATATTACTAAAGGTGAATGCCAATGTTTTCAATATTTTGTTGAGTAATTATAAAATAAAAGGGTACCTATATATAAAGAAGAAAAATTTGTGTTTATATATTTATTCATTTAAGTGTAAGTGCAAGTGTTGGTACTTTTTAGATGCCACGAAACTACTATTGCAACCTTTTAAGTGATTCAGAGGTCAAACACACAACAACAATATTACCTATGTTTTTACTAACACTCTTAAAAACTGAATTCTATTAAAACTATTTTAGAAATATAATAACTATCATAGTAAATAAATAGGAATAAGCAGTGTCTAGAAAAATAGTTAACAATGTTTGTTTGATGGCAAATTTGAAGTCAAATGTAATAGGTTAAATGAGCACATTGTAAAGAATAATTAAATTGTTAGTTAAAAATGTCAAATAAAAAAATATTTTAGGTTTTCTAACTTCAAATTCCATTCATGAAATATAAGAAGTATTGTTCAGATTTCAGAACACAAGTATAAATAATCATGTTAGGTATGTTGGATCAAATATATAAGCTTTCAATTGCTCAAATTCATACCATTTCAAGTGATAACGTTAATTTTAAATGTTGGAAATGACATTGCCATAACTTATTTAATAAACATAGAAGCCATCAAAAGATAGTTAATCTATTTTAGTTGTTATTATATGTAGTCAGACTACACTTTAGCACTAAACATACCCTTTATGGGTCTTGGATTTGTTTCATTAATAAATAATTTATTAAAGTACATACTTAGATTTGCTCAAGATTTTTTTTTATTCATAGTACTGAATCAATAACTGTGTGGCGGAATTACTAAGCTTTGTTACCATAAAACTTTCAATAATATTTGGCTTAGTTATAATATTATCAAACATGTTTTTAAGATACTTTACTTAGAAATACAAAAGATATCCCATAAAGTTTTTGTGTGTTTTATGCAAGTTTTTATTATTTTCCTTAACTTTACAATAATTAAATTGTTATGCAATATTATTGTGTCAGTACAGTGACCTACCACATCTCCCCTAAAATTTTAACACATAATTATTGTATTACAGCCATCAGCGGTAGTTGTCAAGAATGAGGAAGAAAAATGACCAATTATTGAAATGTTAAGAAGAGATATTAAACCGAGACCACAAATGTATTTTGAATGCAGTTTGGACAACTATGATTTTTATATGAAAAATTGTATTACCGTGTTTAAGATAATTGTGTACTTCATAATAAAATTTTTTTGTATCTAATAATATTGTTATATTAATAAAATGATTAATTAAATCTACCACTTATTTAATGACTGCCTATAGAAAACGTAGTAACCGAGTTAAATACATAGCTAAGCCGAAATGAAAAATATATAAGCCATGTTACTTTATAGGTGAATAAAAAGAACAATATAATAACTTACACATTTAATTTAATGATTATAGTAAACTTTTAACACACTACAAAATAATTTCAGTAAAACAAACTTAAGTATAATAAAAACTAATTAAAACCCAGCCTCACATAGAGCTAATCAATAACATCTACTTTATTTTGTAGACAAATATATTTATTTTAATATATTTTCTAATTAGTTTGTATAAAGTAATAGTTATGAACGATAAATTTAAAAAACCAGGAAAAGAAAAAAAAAACCAACAATCATGTATGTAATGATGGTATTTCATACTTGTGTAAAGCAGAATAATGTTTTTATCCAAAACCTTAATGTTATATCAATATATTTTATAAAAATATAAGGAACTGAAATTGTACTGTGTTATCATTTATTATAAATTGAAGGATAAGTAGTCGAAATTCAATAATTTGAAAATGTCTGCACTATTGTGTCTTTTTATATCCAGGGGCCTTGTCGTATGATACAAATGTAATATTCTTCTTCTTCAAAGGCAGAATGTATTTTTCTATCAGAAATTTTGAACATTTGGGGATCTCTGAAATTATTAGATTTATAATTTTAGTATAGTAGAAAAATACAAATATAGGTATAACAAAATTAACCTATCTTAACTTATTTATCGTTTTCTGTTGACTTATCTCTGTGGAGACAAGACATGATCAAGACTGCATCGAAAAATTGGTTCTAGGATCAAAATGATATTTTTAATGTAAAATAATAAAATTTACTTAGATCATCTATTTACTAGACTCTTCGTTCATCTCAGTAGCATATGTTCTAGGTTTCGTCAATACCATATAATTTCTTGAGTATTGGAAAAAAACGCTATAGTAACCAACGCCGAGAAACCAATTGGTCGTTTCGTGCCTACAATTTTATTTTTAATGGTTTACATCATTTATTTCTTGAAATAGGGGGTTTAAACTTTAAAAGTGGAAACGGGCCTTCTGTAACAATAACAAAGTTCATTTCACGAAGCTTAATTTTTTTTATATAATTTTTTTCGTAAAATAATGCTGTATTGATAAATATTATTTTATAAACTTACCCCAAGATACATATAGATTGTCCTATGTTAGAATATTTTCACATAAAACAAGTTTTAACTTCGCTAAAAATGGCTAACTCACTGGTAAATGACGATTTACGGGGGAAGAAGAACTTTTAATTTGACGTACAAAATGTACATTTAAGTGAGATGAGATGTCAAATGGTATGGTATCAGAATACCAAATACCAACAATTTTGGAGCGTGAAGTTTGGGGGGGGCGAGGTGCCAAATATTCCAATGGTTCCAAATGTGAACAATCTCATTTGAGGCGGCACTTTGTCGCGGTTATTGTTTATCAGAATACCAAATTGTAAAATGACACCGAAACGAACGATTTGACAGCAAAAATAGGTGAGGGTGTGTGAGAGTTAAGAATCGCAGGGCAGAAGTGAAACTTCTTTGGCAAACTAATTTTAAAGTCTTGTTCATATTTATACAAATCTAAAACTTTAGATTTCCGAGATGTTAGGAATATAATGAATTTAATTGTCATTAAAATATTAAAAGTGTCGAAAATTAATACAAATTATAAATTTAATTTTTTAAATTTACCTATTTCTTAGATAATAAAAACACGCGACTTTTTAATTTAATATTCGTCACTTGAGATTTAAGTAAATTATTTTGCATAAAATATAAAATACTAATATTTCATAAATTCTCTTTACGAAATTTTAATTTTAAAAATAAAATTTCTATAAGATAATTCGCCCTTCTCACTCTCTCTCAATCGGTCTCAATCGGTCTCTCCCTTTTCTTCGACAAAAACGCTGCACATCTTCGTGACGCTAATATTATTATTATTGCTTTTCATCCGTAAAAAAATTACCCTCATGCGCCTAAAAAAGTTTCACTACAAAAATCTTATTTATAATTTAATCTAATCTAGTATTAACAAATATGTATCTTAAAATTTTCCTTTAACTTACTATGCGTTACCAAAATCTGTTAATAAATAATAAATTCTAGTAACTGGTATTTCTTAGCATTAATCAAAATTTATGGTCTCTTTATTTAATATGGATGCAATATTATGTAAGCTCAGCTGTAGCCTCTAGATGTTATCGTATAGATTGACCCTGGCTCTATATAGGTCATGATACGTTATGCATCTGTGGTCACAGGCCACGGCCACCGGAAGCTACTATTGAGAAGATTACAGGAAACGATATCTGATTGAGCTTTTGCAAGAAGCTTATGTTTGAGGAATAAGAGCATATATTTTTCATTTTTGCTTGTCAGCCATCTTTATTGTGAGATCATTAAACCTTTAAATTTTTATTAATTATCTAAAATAATTTGTTT